AGCTCACTGCAGCCTCCAACTCCTGTGCTCAAGCCATCCTCCCACCTCAGTCTCCCCCATAGCTGGGACTACAGGCATATGCCACCATGCCCGGCTTATCAGAGCTGCAATTTTAAATCGGGAGCCAGGGAAGACCTCCCTGTTCAGGTGGCAGGTTATCAAGACAGAAGGTGTAGAGAAGAACCTTCCAGTCAAAAGGAAAAGGCAGGTCCTGCTGTTCTCAGGAATGGCCAGAAGTACTATCATCCCCATCTTAGAGACGGGGACAGGGTCGCAAAATTGTCAGGGCGTTTCCTGGTTCCTCAACAAACAGCTGGATCCGAAGTTGTCTGGATGGTCGAGCATCGAAGTTGTCTGGACGGTCGATCATCGATGGAGCCTCCGTGCCTGGGGCGGACCTCCCCCGGAGCACGCGGGAGCTCAGGGCGCACAGGCCTCTAGGTTCCAGGGTCCGGCTTAGGCTCAGGCTGGGCGTCAGCAAAGGGACCTGCGGGGCTCCCTGGGGCGGAGGAGGCCCGAAGGCCAGTGGCCAGTACGGTGCGTCGGGCGGAGGTAGGGGTGCAGCAGGAGCGGGAGGCGCGCCCAGGGCGGGGGTGCCAGGCCCACTCCAACGGCGGCAGGGTACGGGGGCATCAGGGCAGCTCCTGGCAGGGGTCGCACCCCAAACCCCGACCACTAGCGGCCGCCGGCTCTCCTTCCTTACCCGCCGAAGGGCTGCCACGGCGGACAGGAAGCTGTGCACTATGAGCGCTATCTCCCTGGGGAGGAGAACGGGAATGTCCCTGGGAGTCCCGCCGCTCTCCACCGCCGTCCCCTCCAATCCCACCCGAAAGTGATGTCCTCATTCCCCGCCTCAGCAGAGCCCCAGGCCCCGCCCCTGCCTGAAGTCACGCCCCTTGCACTTGCCCACCTCAGGCCCCTCCTCCAACCCAGGTACCCACCTGTCCCCACTCCTCTCCCTCCTGCGCGCCATCGGACCCCAGCGTGCCCACCATGCTGGACTGCAGCCTGGATCATCACCCCCCCCCAGGCCCGCTCCTTCCCGGAGTTCCACCGCCGAGATTCCCAGGGCTCCCTGTCACACTCCTCCTCTGCAACAGGCCTCGTCCCCTCCCCAGACGCACCACCCTTGTCACAGGCCTGGAGGGTCCCTCTCATCAGGCCTGTGCCTCGCGGGGTCCGCCTTCTCCAGGAAGCCTTCTTCCGGCCTCGGAGACCCTCCCGGTCTCACCAGGCGTGCAATGGCGCGATTCAGCTTGTTGGAACCAACGTCCTGACCCCCCGGGCTCTAGCGATTCTCCTGTCTCAGTCTCCCAAGTAGCTGGAATTACAGGTTCGTGCCACCATGCCCGGCTAATGTTTGTATTTTTATCAGAAACGGGGTTTCACCATGTTGGCCAGGCTGTTCTCGAAGCACAGCTGACCTCAAGTGATCCGACAGCTTTGGCTTCCCAAACTGCTAAGATTACAGGCGTGAGCGACTGAGCCCGGGCTGGGCCTTGTCTTTTGTGCGGCCCCCATTGTGCTACTGGACCCGAGAAGCAGGGCTGACAGTGAACCCCATGTAGACGCGGCCCTGGTGACGGGGGTTCAGGCAGTAGAGCAAGTAGATCCCGAAGAAGCGCCTCCGCCTCTCCGCGACCCCGCGGGATTCTTCCAATTTCAGGAAATTCTCATTAAATACACTTCTGGGTCAGCACTGACATGAGGAAGAGAACCTGACCAACACCTCGAAACCTGCTTTGTCCCTCCCTGGTTCCTCCCTCTGGGTGCCCACTGTGCTGCCGTCTCACCCATCTGTGGTTCAGCGCAGCAGCTGTGTAGGACACCTGGCCGATCGAGTCACAGTCCTGCTGGGCCCTCAGGCTCACTCGGGAACTAGGGGCTCCCAGGGGCTCCTTCCCACAACTCAGTGCAGCATGCTGGGGGGTCAGGGCCAGCACCTGTCCCTGGGGCCTCAGGCCTCCCTTCCTTCCCATAGCGGCCAAGATCGCAGGTCTCTACAATGACTCGGAGCCACCCCGGAAGACCATGCGCAGAGGGGTGCTGATGACCCTGCTGCAGCAGTCGGCCATGACCCTGCCCCTGTGGATCGGGAAGCCCGGTGACAAGTGAGGGCAGCAGCTGCGAGGGAGGGGCTGGTGCCCAGGGGCTGGGACTGACCCTTTGTTCTGCTCACAGGCCCCCACCCCTCTGTGGGGCCATCCCCGCCTCAGGGGACTACGTGGCCAGACCTGGAGACAAGGTGGCTGCCTGGGTGAAGGCCGTGGATGGGGACGAGCAGTGGTCAGTTACAGCCATGCCACCAACAAGTGAGTGACACCAGCCCCGGGGCTACTCTCTGGTCGCTGCACCTGCCTGGGCTGCCGCTCTACTCCCTGTCTGCACAGCTGGAGAAAAGCTCCACAGAGGGTGATGTGGGCGGGGCCAGCTGTGCAGGGAGCACCAGGTCCTCGTCCTGCCCCGTCCTCCACGCTCCTTGACAGGGACTGCGCCCCTGGCTACACCCAGTGTTTTCCTTCTTTTGTCCACAGGTATGAGGTAGATGACATCTATGAAGAAGGCAAAGAGTGAGTGTCCAGGCCAGGGCCGGACATGGAGACTGGGGGCAGCCTAACAGCTGGGAAGGAACATCCCCACCCAGCCACAGGTTGACACAAGTCCCTCTACAGCCAGGAGACACACCCTGAGCTGACGCTGGATCATCCCGCTGCCCCAGTGGAAGGCCAACCCCGAGACAGACCCTGAGGCCTTATTCCAGAAGGACAGCTCACGCTAGCCCTGTATCCCCAGACCACCTGCTTCTACCATGCCCTGACCCACGTGCCCCCACAGTGAGTAAAGCAGCCGCCATGCGACAGGCCATGGATGATGTCAGGAGCAGGCTGATCAGATATGCAGGAGGTCCTTGTTTGGACCAAGGCAGGGCATGGAGCCCAGGTGAGGCAGGAGAGGTAGTCAAGAAGACAACCACCTTCTCAGGATGCTGCGACCTTGGTGACCGCACGGCCAACACAGTAAGCCTCAGCATTCGCCTGGTCACTGAGCTCACGCAAAGCTATCTCCAGTAGGGACTTTCCCTTTTGAGAACGTGTGCATTTTGATTTTACCTGTCCTCAAACTGACCTTTTGCTCATTTTAATAGTAAAAACCACACCCCTGGGTGGAGATTTAAAATGCTAATGAGACATGTGTCCTAGGAACAGGCATGTATAGCAAATGCCCATGTGCACCCAGAGGACCACCCAGATCATGCTCACTAGTGACGCCGCTTCCCACCCATTATGAAAAATTGCGTGAGATTCCCATAAGGGGAGTTTCCCTGCAGTAATTAACACTGACCCACCCTGATGAGCAGCCTGTTCTGAACTCGCTCAAGGTGTATTGTCTACTATGCACTTAACTTTCAAAATACAGTTTTTCTTTTGCAATAAGTTACTTTATGCTGCACTTCTTTTGCTGTGTGTCTCCTGTTTAAATTATTTTATTTTGTTTATTTATTTATTTTTCAAGACAGAGTCTTGCTCTGTCACCCAGGCTGGTAGGCAGTGGCGCGATCTCGGTTCACCACAATTCTCTTGCCTCAGCCTCCCAAGTAACTGGGATTACAAGTGCGCGCCAACACTCCCAGTTAATTTCGTATTTTTGGTAGAGATGGGGTTTCACCATGTTGGCCAGGCTGGTCTCCAACTCCTGACCTCAAATGATCCACCAGGCTGAAGTGCTGGGATTAGAGGCATAAGCCACTGAGCCCAGCCCAAATCATAATTTACTTTATTTTATTCATTAATATTATTTTTTAGAGATGGAGTTTCACTCTTATGGCCAGGCTGGAGTGAAGTGGGGCGATCTTGGCTCACTGCAACCTCTGCCCTCTCCCACACTGGTTCAAGCGATTCTCCTGCCTCAGCCTCCGGAGTAGCTGGGATTACAGGCGCCCACCACCACGCCCCGCTAATTTATGTGTTTTTGTTTGTTTGTTTTCTTTTTTTTTTCCACTTTTTTAAAATTATACTTTAGGTTCTAGCGTACATGTGCACAACGTGCAGGTTAGTTACATATGTATACATGTGCCATGTTGGTGTGCTGCACCCATTAACTCATCATTTACATTAGGTATATCTCCTAATGCTATCCCTCCCCCCAACCCCTCCCCACAATAGGACCCGGTGTGTGATGATCCCCTTCCTGTGTCCAAGTGATTTCATTGTTCAGTTCCCACCTATGAGTGAGAACATGCGGTATTTGGTTTTCTGTTCTTGCGATATTTGTTTATTTTCTTTCAGTAGAGTTGGGGTTTCGCCATGTTGGCCAGGCTAGTAACAAATCAAATTTATTTTCATTAAACTCTTTATTTCTCAGGCAGGGATCACTCTGTCCCTCAGGCTTGAGTGGATTACCACAGTCACAGCCAACTGCAGCCATAACCTTCCTGGCTCAGGTGATCCTCCTGCCTTCACTTGCCAAGTAGCTGGGACTACAGGTGCCCACCACCACGTGCAGATCATTTTCTCAAATTTTTGTAGGGATGGCATATTGTAACATTGATCAGGCTGGTCCCAAACTCCTGTCCTCCAGTGATCCTCTGGTCTCAACTTCGAAAATGACTGGGATTACAGGCTTGAGCCACCCTGCTTGGCTCACAAATCATATTTTATTCTCTTTTTAAAAGCTGATTTTATTGGCTGGGCGCGGTGGCTCACGCCTGTAATCCCAGCACTTTGGGAGGCCAAGGTGGGCAGATCACAAGGTCAGGAGATCGAGACCATCCTGGCTAACACGGTGAAACCCCATCTCTACTAAAAATACAAAAAATTAGCCAGGCATGGTGGCGGGCGCCTGTGGTCCCAGCTACTCGGGAGGCTGAGGCAGGAGAATGGCGTGGGCCCAGGAGGCAGAGCTTGCAGTGAGCTGAGATCGCACGACTGCACTCCAGCCTGGGCGACAGAGCAAGACTCCGACTCAAAAAAAAAAAAATTGATTTTATTTTGTTATTATTATTATTATTATTATTATTATTTTCAACAGAATCTCACTATGTTGCCCAGGTTGGTCTTGAACTCCTGGGTTCAAATGATCCTCCCACCTCAACCTCCCAAATTGCTGGGATTACAGACATAACCCACTGTCCCTGGCCCTCAATTCATATTTGATTCTTGAGCCCCTTGGTCAGGCTTGATTCTCACACTCCCTCTGCAGTGACCCCGGGAGCCCCTCTCACAGCTCAGAGCGGAAGCTGAGGCTGCAGCCTGCCATCTTCTCCGCATAGTCCGCATCAAAGCGCTCATTCTGCGCCACGGTGAAGGTGGTTTTCCAGTCCCCAGTCATTCCTGGAGGAGGAAGGCAGGGAGCAAAGCTGGAGTCTCATCCCAGGGGAGGCCCCGAGTGCCTATGGGGAGGCTCCAGCCGCTGCTCCCACCCGCCCCAAACCCCCGTGCTGGCCGGCACCCACCTTTCCTCATGAAGGGGGAGATGCTGTGGTCCATGAACTCCTGGGGGACGGTGGTGTAGTTGGCCATAGGGTTCTTCTTCATCTCCTTGAATGACGTGTGTTGAACCATGAGGTCTACGGTCTCCTCTGGCAGGGAGCGCCCCACAAACTCCAGGATCTTCCGAATCTCCCTTTTGGGGTTCTGAGGAGCAGAGGCTCCTCAGTGGAGGCTAGGTTTGCTGATTCAGGAAAATAAAAGGGGTCCCCTTCTCTAACCTCAGAGGGGAACTGGCCACTTCCACTAGAAAACCCACAGAGCCAGCTCCTCGACCCCCGGGGCCCCGGTCCCTGGGATAAAATGAATTGCTCTCTGCCCTCTGATCCCATCATGAGCTGGGCTTGGCTCCTATGGGTGAGGACCGGGATGGTCTTCTTCCGTGACTGTGGCCCTGGGTGGCACACCCTTTGGTGGGGATAATCAATAGGACTAAGTATCTAATCCGTGGCCCCCCATGCAGCTGACTCAGCTGCGGGAGATGAGAGCTGTGTGGGGTCCACTGCCAGGTGGGGCTGTAGCGGGGAGGCCTGGGCCAGGGAGGCAGGATGTGGAATCTGGGCCTACTATGGGGGCCACCCAGGAACGGGGCTGGGCAGCCTTGACGGGTACCTGTGAGGTGCCTGCCCCCAGGGGTCACATGAGGGGAAGCATCACAGATGATCTCACCTCCTTCATGTCTTCATAGAAGAGGTAGAGAACAGGGTGGGTGTGGCTCAGCTCCCACCACTCCCGCACGTGCTGGTACCAGGACCCGTAGGACACTGGAGAAGCAGGCAGGGGGCAGCGACACAGGGTTACTGTGCGTTGTAGCCACCACCTCTCGGCTCCACACCCTCCTTCCTCCCATCAAACCCACCTTCTCCGGCCATGAACTTCTCCAGGAAGCTGTCCCAGGTCCCAGGCTCGGGGTACACCTTGGCCATGTGGTAGAAGTGGTAGTAGGAGACCGCCACATCCTTTGCGTTGCGGGCAACATAGACCATCTGCGGGGGCAGAAGACTCGACCCCAGCACCATCACCACACAGCCCGCCACAGGCCAGCTCATCTCTTGGTTTGGCAAAGGAAGAACCTGAGGCTTAGAGGCTGACCTGCTTGACATCTCACGGCACAGGTAGGATCAAGCTGGGGTCTGAACCCTGCTTGGAAGCCAAAATCCTGCCTGGTCCCTGAGACCATCATGTTCTAAAGTAATATAATCTGCATCAATGCGTCACACTCTGATCTGGAGCAAAGCATGCTCCGTCAGGCATGTTCCCACCCCCACCAAATTTTGTGGGCCTGTGAGGACCCACCCTCTACCTTTCTTAGATCTACACTGAAGAGTCTCATGTTCTTGGTCATCAGAGCAAGAGGCAGACAGTCCGCCCGCCGCGGAAGATGAGACAAGGCTGGAGGAAGTAGGGCGACTTTCCCAGAAGAACAGGACCAAAGCTGGGCTGAGATGGGGCCTCCTTCCCTGGATTCACATGTCCCACACCTGGACCTTTGCTTTTTCTTTTTGTTGTGACAATATTTTACTTTATTTTATTTTATTATTTATTTATTTATTTATTGAGACAGAGAGTCTCAGAAAAAAAAAAAAGAAAGAAAAGAAAAAAAGATCTTGGTCTTTCTTTTTTCCTGTCGCCCAGGTTGGAGTGCACTGGAGTGATGATAGCTCACTGCAACCTTGACCTCCCAGGCTCAAGCAACTCTCCAACCTCAGACTGTCAAGTAGCTGGCACTAGAGCGCCATGCCACCATGCCCTGCTGATATTTTGCATTTTCATAGAGATGGAGTCTCCTCATGTTTCCCGGGCTCGTCTGGAACTCCTGAGCTCAAGCGTTCCACCCACCTTGGCCTCCCAAAGTTCTGGCATTACAGCACTGAGCCATCATAGGTGGCAAACCGTTTTTTTTTTTTTTTTTGAGAGGGAGTTTCGCTGTTGTTGCCCAGGCTGGAGTGCAATGGCATGATCTCAGCTCACCAAAACCTCTTCTCCTGGGTTCAAGTGATTCTCTTGCCTCAGACTCCTGAGCAGCTGGGATTACAGGCATGCGCCACCACACCCAGCCAATTTTGTATTTTTAGTAGAGATGAGGTTTTTCTGTGTTGCTCAGGGTGGTCTCAAAGTCCCAACCTCAGGTGATCTGCCCTGCTCAGCCTCCCAAAGTGCTGGGATTACAGACGTGAGCCACTGCGCTTGGAACCTTTTTAAAATCTTTACTTATTTATTTACGTTGTTTGAAACGAAGTCACTTTGTGTCTCCTAGGCTAGAGTGCAGTGGCTTGATCTCGGCTCACTGCAACCACTGGCCTGCCAGGTTCAAGTGGTTCTCCTGCCTCAGCCTCCTGAATAGCTAAGTATACCGGCACCTGCCCCAACGCCTGACTATTTTTGAATTTTTAGTACAAACGGGGCTTCCTGATGTTGGCCAGGGTGGTGGTCTCCAACTCCTGACGTCAGGTGATCTGCCCGCCTCAACCTCCCAAAGTGCTGAGATTACAGGAGTGAGCCACCACCTGCCTGATCCCCACCAACTTTTTTTTTTTTTTTTTTGAGACAGAGTTTCACTCTTTTTGCCCAGGCTAGATCTCGGCTCACTGCAGCCTCTGCCTCCCAGGTTCAAGCAATTCTTCTGCCTCAGCCTAGCAAGTAGTGGGATTACAGGTGCCCAGCACCATGCCTGGCTAATTTTTTCGGATTTTTAGTAATGATGGGATTTTGCCATATTGTCCAGGGTGGTCTCCAACTCCAGACCTCAGGTGATCTGCTGGCCTCAGTCTCTTAAAGTGCTGGGATTACAGGCATGAGCCACCGCGCCTGCCAGCCCCTCTTTTTATTCTTCATCTTTTTTTGAGACAAGGTTTCTCTGTCACCCAGTCTGGAGTGCAGTGGTGTGATCATAACTCACTTCACTCTTGAACTCCCAGGCTCAGGTGATCCTCCCACCTCAGCCTCCTGAGTAGCTGGTACTACAGGCACACACCACTATGCATACCTGATTTTCTTTTTTGTTTTTTTTTTTGGAAGAGACTGGTCTGGAACTTCTGGCTTCAAGGGATCTTCCCACCTCAGCCTCCCAAAGTGCTGGGATTACGGATGTGAAACACTGTGCCCAGCCTCACCTTGACCTTCTGATCCAACAGAGTCTGGGGCAGCAGAGCCAGGGGCAGGTGTGTCTTCAGGAGCCGTGGGGCCGGTGTGTCTTTCAGAGTCTCCATCCCTGAGCAGTGGGTCAGGGAAGGTCTGGTGAGCTGAAGCCCCAGCCCTGTCTTCCTCCCCTCCCCTTGCATCCAGGACACGGTCACACACCTGAGGGAATCCCTGGGACTTTGAACTCAAGGAAGGGCACCCGCATGAAGATGGGAGCTCGGTGACACTTCTCCAAGTCGCCGCCTTGGTAGATCATGTCCAGAATCTGGCTCACCCAGGTAGTCCCTGGAGAGGGAGGGAGATGGGAGGTGAGCAGGCTGAGGGCACAACCTCGCTGGCCAAGGTGGGGACTGGCGCCTGGGAGAGGGTGGGTGGCCCTCCTCACCTACCGGACTTGGGGTAGGTGCTGATGAGCAGGTCATCGGGCCGGGCCCGGAAGCTCTGCAGGGGTCCCAGTGCCTCTGCAAAGTACTTGATGAGCGGAACCCCCTTCACGTACTCCAGTGGCGGGCGAGAGGTGTCCTGGATCAGCTCCATGTTCCTGTGTCAGGAGCCAGAGCCAGGCCCACTTCCTTTAACACCATCACAACAGCAAGAAAGCGGCATTCTTGCTTTCAGGGAAGTCACTGGGGCCTAGGGAGGCTGAGTGACTTGCCCATGCTCACAAAGCCAGTCAGTGGCAGGGCTGGGGCTGAAACCCGGTCAGCCTCTAATGCGGTGGTTCCCCAGCCTGGCCACACCTTTCATTCACCTGCAGAGCTGTTCAGAATCCCAGGGCCTGGGCCATGGTGCAGACCAGTGAAAGCACCCTCGCGGCGTGGGGCCCAGATAGCAGAGTGTGTGACGGTCTCCAGGAGAGTCCAGCTGCACTGAGGAAGCTCTAGGGCCTGGCTGTGCTGTCTCCCTACCAGCCAGTGCCCTTTGTCTCACCATTTCCTACTGTGAGCCCCCAGCCTCCACCCAGTGGGGTCCTGTCCCCGATGCTCCCCTCCTTGAGTTCCCTGTGCCCCTCACATGTGGAAACCTCCCAGGCTGACCAGGCCTGTGATCCACTTGCCCGGCCACAGTCCATCCGGGCTCCAGGACAAACACGGCCCATTGAGCAACTGAGCTGGTACTAGGGGCCAGAGCCTGCTGTGGGAATGAACAGAACTCTGATGACTCAGCAAGAGGACAGGCCCAGGCAGGGTGGCTCCCGCCTATAATCCCAGACCCTAGGGAGGCCGAGGCTAGGAGTTGGAGACCAATCTGGGCAGCATTGCAAGACTCCATCTCTAAAAATCTTTAAAAAATGTTTTAAAAAATTAACCAGACAAGATGGTGAGGGCCTGTAGTCCTAGCTACTCCAGAGGCTGAGGCAGGAGAATTACTTGAGCCCAGGAATTAAAGGCTGCAGTGGCCAGGATCCCACAGCACTCCAGCCTGGGTGACAGCAAGACCTGGCCTCTCTGGGAAAAAAAAAAAAAAAGGAAGAGAGGGGGATTCACGCCGGCCGGGGTTGTCTGAAATGGGATATCCATGGGGAAAGCGCAGGGATGGGAGAGGCCTCGATTTCTGGAATGTCAGAGCCAGAAGCTGAGCAGGGTGAGGGCGTCCTGGGCCCTTCCAGTGTGTCACTCACCTGAGCTATCAGGAACCTGGCCTGTGCCCTCCCCGTCCGCAGTGGCTGAGTGTGGGTGCAATGTGGGGAATGCAGGGGTGTTGTCTGTGCTGAGGGTTTCGTAGGTCCAGTGTGGGAGGGATCTGGAGCTTGGGCCGGACTTAGATTTGCTTCCGGAAGGAAGGGGTAGGATTGGGGGTGGGGGAGCTTCTCCATTACCCTCCTTAGTATGCCAGCTGGAGACAAGCTTAGAGTGATCTCCAAAGCCACGACTGGGTTTGGTGAGTAGAAAACAGAAGAGTGAAAGGGGAAAGGGCCCAATGGTGGGTTTGTTTTTGTGGGTTGTTTTTTTGTTTTTTGTTTTTTGAGTTCTCACAGGGCTCCTGACCTGCCCCTGCCAAGCAGGCCAACAGACGAGCTTTCTCTGATTGACCCAGGCAAGAGAGGGGAGGGATTGGAGGAGAAAGATGGGATAGGCAGGCCCGGGAAAGGTCACCTACCTGCCTGCTCCGGCCAGTCTTTAAAGCTTCAGGGGTTCTGGCCCAGTGCAGCCCACAGGCCCCCAGCAGCCCATGCACTCCAGACTCTGACCACAAGGCCAGTCTGGAGTGATGTGTGTGGGCAGAGTGAAGGGGCAGGAGGGGAGCAGAGCATGGATACATAGAACAAGAAAGAACAAGGACACTGCAGTCCCCTTGCCCTGGGAGCCAGCTAGCTTCAGCAGCTTCCTTTCTGGAGCCCCAGGAGAACCAGCTCTGAGGTGGGAAGCTCCTGCCCTGAGTCTGGGGCTCTTGCCCCCTCATGCTTCTGGTGACATGGGACACAAGCCACCTGAGGCCAGGATCCCTGCCTGCCACCCTCTGGGTTGCCCTCAGTCCTCTGAACATAGAGTCCCTGAAAGGCAACAGACCCTCCAGCTATGGCCCCACTGGGAGGGAGTCAACGCCCCTTCCTCTCCCCACCCTTTTCACTGCCCTGGGTCTCCAGCCACTGAGAAAAGAGCTCTGTAGCAGCAGGGACTGGGCCAAGAACTTTTGACCCCAGAGTGAAGGATGATGAGAGTGGCTGAGAGTCCACAGCCCAGTGGCTCCTGTGGTCTAGGCTGGGAGAAGGGGGTGCCTGTCCTGGCCTGGGGCTCTCTGAGCAGCCCTCCTGTCTGCCTGCCACACAGCCCCAGGATGACTACTCGGTCCTATTTGAAGACACCTCCTATGCAGACGGCTATTCCCCTCCCCTCAATGTAGCTCAGAGGTACGTGGTGGCTTGTAAGGAGCCCAAGAAAATGTGACGCTGCCCGGCGGACTCACCATCCCCCAACGACACAGGGCAGGACAGCAGAGGATGTGCTGGGATTAAACAGACATTCCTCCTCCACTCGTCTCCTGGGTTTTACTTCTCCAGACCCTCTCCCCTCTCCAAATAGGGCAAGTTGGGGAGCTGGAGTGGGGAGGTGGCCGTATTTGGCCCCAGTGGGCGATCACTCTTTCAGCTCATGGTTTCTCTTGGCTTGAAATGGAGACTCTGCATTGAACACAAATCATACTTTATTCTTGAGCCGCTTGGTCAGGCTTGATTCGCACACTCCCTCAGCAGTGACCCCGGGAGCCCCTCTCACAGCTCAGAGCGGAAGCTGAGGCTGCAGCCTGCCATCTTCTCCGCATAGTCCGCATCGAAGCGCTCATTCTGCGCCACGGTGAAGGTGGTTTTCCAGTCCCCAGTCATTCCTGGAGGAGGAAGGCAGGGAGCAAAGCTGGAGTCTCATCCCAGGGGAGGCCCCGAGTGCCTATGGGGAGGCTCCAGCCGCTGCTCCCACCTGCCCCAAACCCCCATGCTGGCCGGCACCCACCTTTCCTCATGAAGGGGGAGATGCTGTGGTCCATGAGCTCCTGGGGGATGGTGGTGTAGTTGGCCATAGGGTTCTTCTTCATCTCCTTGAATGACGTGTGTTGAACCATGAGGTCTACGGTCTCCTCTGGCAGGGAGCGCCCCACAAACTCCAGGATCTTCCGAATCTCCCTTTTGGGGTTCTGAGGAGCAGAGGCTCCTCAGTGGAGGCTAGGTTTGCTGATTCAGGAAAATAAAAGGGGTCCCCTTCTCTAATATCAGAGGGGAACTGGCCACTTCCACTAGAAAACCCACAGAGCCAGCTCCTCGATCCCCGGGGCCCCAGTCCCTGGGATAAAATGAATTGCTCTCTGCCCTCTGATCCCATCATGAGCTGGGCTTGGCTCCTATGGGTGAGGACCGGGATGGTCTTCTTCCGTGACTGTGGCCCTGGGTGGCACACCCTTTGGTGGGGATAATCAATAGGACTAAGTATCTAATCCGTGGCCCCTCATGCAGCTGACTCAGCTGCAGGAGATGAGAGCTGTGTGGGACCTGCTGCCAGGTGGGGCTGTAGCGGGGAGGCCTGGGCCAGGGAGGAGGATGGGGAATCCGGACCTGCAGTGGGGGCCACCAAGGAAAGGGGCTGGGCGGCCTTGACGGGTTCCTGTGAGGTGCCTGCCCCCAGGGGTCACATGAGGGGAAGCATCACAGGTGGTCTCACCTCCTTCATGTCTTCATAGAAGAGGTAGAGAACAGGGTGGGTGTGGCTCAGCTCCCACCACTCCTGCACGTGCTGGTACCAGGACCCGTAGGACACTGGAGAAGCGGGCAGGGGGCAGCGACACAGGGTTACTGTGCGTTGTAGCCAGCACCTCTCGGCTCCACACCCTCCTTCCTCCCGTCACACCCACCTTCTCCGGCCATGAACTTCTCCAGGAAGCTGTCCCAGGTCCCAGGCTCGGGGTGCACCTTGGCCATGTGGTAGAAGTGGTAGTAGGAGACCGCGACATCCTTTGCGTTGCGGGCAACATAGACCACCTGCGGGGACAGAAGACTCGACCCCAGCACCATCACCACACAGCCCGCCACAGGCCAGCTCATCTCTTGGTTTGGCAAAGGAAGAACCTGAGGCTTAGGGGCTGACTTGCTTGAGATCTCATCGCACCGGTAGGGCCAAGCTGGGATCTGAACCCTGGTTGGAAGCCAAAATCCTGCCTGGTCCCTGAGACCATCATATTCTAAAGTAATATAATCTGCATCAATGCGTCACACCCTGATCTGGAGCAAGGCATGCTCTGTCAAATATGTTCCCACCCCCACCAAATTTTGTGGGCCTGTGAGGACCCACCCTCTACCTTTCTTAGATCTACACTGAAGAGTCTCATGTTCTTGGTCATCAGAGCAAGAGACAGTCAGTCCCTCCTGTGGAAGATGAGACAAGGCTGGAGGAAGTGAGGCGACTTTCCCAGAAGAACAGGACCAAAGCTGGGCTGAGCCGGGACCTCCTTCCCTGGATTCACATGCCCCACACCTGGACCTTTGCCTTTTCCTTTTTGTTGTGGAATTTTTTTTTTTTTTTTTTTTTTTTTGAGACAGAGTTTCGCTCTTGTTGCCCAGGCTGGAGTGCAATAGCTCATTTTCGGCTCACTGCAACCTCTGTCTCCCGAGTTCAAGCAATTCTTCTGCCTCAGCTTCCCAAGTAGTTGGGATTACAGGTGCCCACCATCACGCCTGGCGAATTTTTTTGGATTTTTAGTAGAGATGGGATTTTGCCATGTTGGCCAGGGTGGTCTCCAACTCTAGACCTCAGGTGATCTGCTGGCCTCAGCCTGTTAAAGTGCTGGGATTAGAGGCGTGAGCTACCGCGCCTGCCGGCCCCTCTTTTTATTCTTCATCTTTTTTTGAGACAAGGTTTCTCTGTCATGTAGTCTGGAGTGCAGTGGTGTGATCATAGCTCACTTCACTCTTGAACTCGTAGGCTCAGGTGATCCTCCCACCTCAGCCTCCTTAGTAGCTGGTACTATAGGCACACAACACCACGCCCAGCTATATATATATATTTTTTGTTTGTTTGTTTGTTTGTTTGAGGAGACTGGTCTGTAACTTCTGGCTTCAAGGGATTTTCCCACCTCAGCCACCCAAAGTGCTGGGATTACGGAAGTGAAACACTGTGCCCAGCCTCACCTTGACCTTCTGATCCAACAGAGTCTGGGGCAGCAGGGCCAGGGGCAGGTGTGTCTTCAGGAGCCGTGGGGCCGGTGTGTCTTTCAGAGTCTCCATCCCTGAGCAGTGGGTCAGGGAAGGTCTGGTGAGCTGAAGCCCCAGCCCTGTCTTCCTCCCCTCCCCTTGCACCCAGGACACGGTCACACACCTGAGGGAATCCCTGGGGCTTTGAACTCAAGGAAGGGCACCCGCATGAAGATGGGAGCTCGGCGACACTTCTCCAGGTCACCACCTTGGTAGATCATGTCCAGAATCTGGCTCACCCAGGTAGTCCCTGGAGAGGGAGGGAGATGGGAGGTGAGCAGGCTGAGGGCACAACCTCGCTGGCCAAGGTGGGGACTGGCGCCTGGGAGAGGGTGGGTGGCCCTCCTCACCTACCGGACTTGGGGTAGGTGCTGATGAGCAGGTCATCGGGCCAGGCCCGGAAGCTCTGCAGGGGTCCCAGTGCCTCTGCAAAGTACTTGATGAGCGGAACCCCCTTCACGTACTCCAGTGGCGGGCGAGAGGTGTCCTGGATCAGCTCCATGTTCCTGTGTCAGGAGCCAGAGCCAGGCCCACTTCCTTTAACACCATCACAACAGCAAGAAAGCGGCATTCTTGCTTTCAGGAAAGTCACTGGGGCCTAGGGAGGCTGAGTGACTTGCCCACGCTCACAAAGCCAGTCAGTGGCGGGGCTGGGGCTGAAACCCGGTCAGCCTCTAATGCGGTGGTTCCCCAGCCTGGCCACACCTTTCATTCACCTGCAGAGCTGTTCAGAATCCCAGGGCCTGGGCCATGGTGCAGACCAGTGAAAGCACCCTCGCGGCGCGGGGCCCAGATAGCAGAGTGTGTGACGGTCTCCAGGAGAGTCCAGCTGCACTGAGGAAGCTCTAGGGCCTGGCTGTGCTGTCTCCCTACCATCCAGTGCCCTTTGTCTCACCATTTCCTGCTGTGAGCCCCCAGCCTCCACCCAGTGGGCTCCTGTCCCCGATGCTCCCCTCCTTGAGTTCCCTGTGCCCCTCACATGTGGAAACCTCCCAGGCTGACCAGGCCTGTGATCCACTTGCTCAGCCAGGGTCCATCCAGGCTCCAGGACAAACATGGCCCATTGAGCAACTGAGCTGGTACTAGGGGCCAGAGCCTGCTGTGGGAATGAACAAAACTGATGACTCAGCAAGAGGACAGGCCCAGGCAGGGTGGCTCCCGCCTATAATCCCAGACCCTAGGGAGGGCCGAGGCTAGGAGTTGGAGACCAATCTGGGCAGCATTGCAAGACTCCATCTCTAAAAATCTTTTAAAAATGTTTTAAAAAATTAACCAGGCAGGATGGTGAGTGCCTGTAGTCCTAGCTACTCCGGAGGCTGAGGCAGGAGAATCACCTGAGCCCAGGAATTAAAGGCTGCAGTGGCCAGGATCCCACAGCACTCCAGCCTGGGTGACAGCAGGACCTGGCCTCCCCAGAAAAAAAACAAAAAAAAAAGCAAGGAGGGGGATTCACGCCGGCGAGGGTTGTCTGAAATGGGATATCCAAGGGGGGGATCACGCCGGCGGGGTCTGAAATGGATCCAGGGAGGGGGATTCACGCCGGCGAGGGTTGTCTGAAATGGGATATCCATGGGGAAAGCGCAGGGATGGGAGAGGCCTCGGCTTCTGGAGTGTTGGAGCCTGAAGCTGAGCAGGGTGAGGGCGCCCTGGGCCCTTCCAGTGTGTCACTCACCTGAGCTCTCGGGAACCTGGCCTTGTGCCCTCCTCGCCCACAGTGGCTGAGTGTGGGTGCAATGTGGGGAATGCAGGGGTGTTGTCTGTGCTGAGGGTTTCGTAGGTCCAGTGTGGGAGGGATCTGGAGCTCGGGCCAGACTTAGATTTGCTTCCGGAAGGAAGGGGTAGGATTGGGGGTGGGGGAGCTTCTCCATTACTCTCCTTAGTATGCCAGCTGGAGACAAGCTTAGAGTGATCTCCAAAGCCACGACTGGGTTTGGTGAGTAGAAAACAGAAGAGTGAAAGGGGAAAGGGCCCAATGGTGGGTTTGTTTTTGTGGGTTTGTTTGTTTGTTTGTTTGTTTTTGAGATGTCACAGGGCTCCTGACCTGCCCCTGCCAGGCAGGCCAACAGACAAGCTTTCTCTGATTGAACCAGGCAAGAGAGGGGAAGGATTGGAAGGGAAAGATGGGATAGGCAGGCCCGGGAAAGGTCACCTACCTGCCGGCTCCAGGCTAGTCCTGAAAGAGCCAGGGGTTCTGGCCCAATGCAGCCCGCAGGCCCCAGCAGCCCATGCACTCCAGACTCTGACCACAAGGCCAGTCTGGAGTGATGTGTGTGGGCAGAGTGAAGGGGCAGGAGGGGAGCAGAGCATGGATACATAGAACAAGAAAGAACAAGGACAATGCAGTCCCACTGGGGGGACTCACAGAACATGGATAGAAGATCCTAGAAGAACAGCAGCCCATGGCAGGTGCTTTTGTTTCCTTGGGTTTGAAGGAGGCTCCACAGACAAGAGATCAGAGGAAGCTGAGGCTTGGAAGCCACAGGGCCCCGTGGAAGGAGGGCATACCCCCATCCTCCTTGTTCTTTGTCCTCACTATTTAAAGTCCAAGGTCAAGCTGGGCACGAGATAGCTAACCAACCCTCCGAGTAAAGGTGAGTCTCCCAAGCCTTCCAAGAAATTTGTGAGTTCAGAAGCAAGCGGGCAGGTGGGAGTGTGGGGGAAGCTGGGGCATGGGGCTTCCAGGCAGAGGAGAGGCTGCTCCCCTGCTAGGGCCACAGGCCCCACCACCCTCCTCTGTGCCCCTGAGGAATCCCCGTGACTGGCAGGTCCTCCAGCTACTAGCTCCGCCCCTGCCATAGCAACCTTCAGGAGGCCCCCTTGACTCAGACTTTGCATTGCACTCCAGTAACAACGGGTCGGACCCACACGGGGTTGCACAGAAAAGAGGCAAGAATGTGAGATTAATAGAGTGGTAGCAAGTGAATAGAAAATCCCAAGCAGCAGTTTCACATGACCAGAAGAAGGAAATTTGAAATAGCTGCATATACTAAGGGCCAATAAGTCCCTGAAAAATAGGATGAGGACCAAGCTGGCTATGACCAACCAGACACAACATGGCGCCGTATTTGATGTAGGTTTCACCTAGGATCTCATTGTACGATCAGTAACATACGAAACCATACACCCGCCAGTGCCAAGACGGCTCCAGGAACACCTGGATTTGGGTGTAAATTGCGGCACCACGGTCTTGAGAAACCTTTACCTTTTCCTGGAATCTTCATGAATATACCCCTCTTTAGTTAAAGAAGCCCATAAAGGTTAGTCCCAAACCTCACAGGGCATGAGACACTCTCTTGAGGACCCCCACATTCCCCTTCTTGAGTGAGTCCTTTTGCTGTGCAAGAAATCTCCCTACATTCATGACTTTCTGATTTGTCCTGAAATTCCTTCTGGCTACGGTGTCAAGAGCCTGGAGGAGGCCAGGCGCAGTGGCTCACTCCTGTAATCCCAGCACTTTGGGAGGTTGAGGCAGGCAGATCACCTGAAGTTGGGAGTTTGAGACCAGCCTGGCCAACATGGAGAAACCCTGTCTGAACTAAAAATACAATATTAGCCAAGCGCAGCGGCACATGCATGTAATCTCAGCTACTCAGGAGGCTGAGGCAGGAGAATGGCTTGAACCTGGGAGGTGGAGGTTGCGGTGAGCGAGATTGCGCCATTGTACTCCAGCCTGGGCAACAAGGGTGAAACTCTGTCTCAAAAAAAAAAAAAAAAAAAAAAAAGCCTGGACACTGGCCGAGGTTGATGTCCCACCGGTCTTTGAGGACCTCCCCTAGGCCACCAGTATCCAGTATCTGGAGGGGGTTAGGGACACTGAGGATCAGGTCTGCAGCAGGGCTGTCCAGTGTGCCTGCAGAGGCAAGAAGGTTGGTCACAGGCAGCCCAGGGCAGGGTGTCGGGTAGGAGGCCGGGGCCAAAGCCCACTCACGTCTTCTAATTCTGAGTCTTCTATTTCCTTCGTGCCCATCCGACACAGCCAGATCAGGTCACCCAAAGCAGTGACATCTCACAGCTAAAAAGGCATGGGGCCAGAGAGAGATACAGAGTCAGGCATCACAAGCCCCCTCCAGGCTCAGCCCTGAATACCAAGATCAGGACTCGGCTGCGCCAGCCTGGATTGCACAACTGAGCACCCTCTTCCCAGAGCTGGACCAGATTGGGGCACGGGGACTGCACTCACCGAGGGGCATTGGCCCTCTAGGGGCAGAAGCTGCCCTGGTTCCTCCTGAAGGAACTCCTCTGAACAGACAGATCACATGGGCTCTTAGCCAGCAGCCAGGGTTGGGGCAACACAAGGGCCCATCTTCATCCCATCCCAGGCAGCAGGCAGGTAAGAGACAAGGAGGTCTCCGAGAGGGAGCTGGTGGCAAGCCCCTCCGTGCAGCAGGCACTGTTCCGGGCATCACACAGCTCCATCCGTGAGGAAGGGGTGACTGTTATTTGCATCTTATGGATAAGGAAATGGACGTGGGGGTTTAAAATCCTTGCCCCCTGGGACTAAGCTAGTGAACGTCCTGTGAGCATCAGCAGTGATTGATTGAGTCACAGCCTCACCACTGCAGCCAGACCTGAACTTCCTCACAGCTCAGCAACACCCAGCAGTCACTGAATTTCCCCAGGGCAAGTCCTCTACTCACTCACAATTAGCGGGAGCTCAGTAGAAGGCGCCCATCGTCCATTATTTTATTGACTATTTCTTGGCCATCGTCTCTGTGCTGAACTTTGTTCTACAGCAGTGACAAGAGCTGTCCTTGGGCAGTTTAGTGCAAAGGTTAGGGTGGGAGAGACTAAAGAGAGCAATAAAACACCTAGCAGGTCAGATAGTAAGTATTCAGGAAAAGGAGCGGACGGGGAAGTACTCAAGAGGTGCAATTTTATTTTATATATTTAGAGACTGTTTCTTGCTCTTTTGCCCAGGCTGTAGTGCAGTGGAGCGATCATAGCTCACTGCAGCCTCCAACTCCTGGGCTCAAGCGATCCTCCCACCTCAGTCTCCCCCGTAACTGGGACTACAGGCATATGCCATGGTACCCGCGATCTCAGAGCTGCAATTTTAAATCGGGAGCCAGGGAAGACCTCCCTGTTCAGGTGGCAGGTTATCAAGACGGAAGGTGTAGAGAAGAACCTTCCAGTCAAAGGAAAAAAGCAAGTCCTGCTGTGCTCAGGAATGGCCATAAATACTATCATCCCCATCTTAGAGACGGGGACAGGGTCGCAAAATTGTCAGGGCGTTTCCTGGTTCCTCAATAGCTGGCTCTAAAGTCCTCTGGAGGATAAGCCGCCCTGCCTGGAGTGGACCTTTCCTGGAGCGCGCGGGCGCGCAGGGCGCACAGGCCTCTTGGACCCCGTGTCCGGCTCAGGCTCAGGCTTGGCGTCAGCAAAGGGACCTGCGCGGCGCCCTGGGGTCGGGGAGGCCAGCGCCAGTGCAGCGCGGCGGGCAGAGGTCCCGGCGGAGGTCGGGGTGCAGCGGGAGCAGGAGGCGCGCCTAGGACGGGGGTGCCAGGCCCATTCCAACCGCGGCAGGGTACGGGGGCGTCAGGGCGGCTCCGGCCACCACGGGGCAGACCCCAAGCCCTCGCCCGCCTGCCGCTGCGCTCTCTCCTTCCTTACCCGAAGGGCGGCCACGGCTGACAGGAAGGCGTGCAGCACGAACATCATCTCCCTGGGGAGGAGAACGGGGGTGTCCCTGTGAGCCCTGCCGCGCCCAACCGCGGGTCCCCTCCAATCCCACCCCAGAGATCGCACAACAGGCAGGGCCCAGGCCTGGCACGGTGGCTCATTCCTGTAATCCCAACACATTGGGAGGCTGAAGCGGTCGGATCACTTGAGGTCAGGAGTTCGAGAACAACCTGGCCAACATGGTGAAACCCCGTCTGTACTAAAAATACAAAAATCAGCCAGGCATAGTGGCACGTGCCTGTAATTCCAGCTACTGGAAAGGCTGAGGCAGGAGAATTGCTTGAAAGGTGGGGCAGGGGGCGTGGCGGAGGTTGCAGGGAGCCAAATCAGGCCATTGCACTCCTAGTGAGATGGGGAGGGTCTCTGTGCCAGGAGGAAGGCTTCCTGGAGGACGCGGACCCCGCGAGACACAGGCCTGATGAGAGGGAGTGGGCAGGCCTATGACATAGGTGGGGTGTCCAGGGCGGGGACGGGGCCTGTCGCAGAGGAGGAGCATGAAGGGGAGCCAGTGCCCTGGGAATCTCGGAGGTGGAACTCCGGGGAGGAGCTGGCTGGGGCGGAGCTGATGATCCAGGATGCAGGCCAATGTAGGGGTCTTGGTGGGCACGCTGGGAGGGAGAGAAGGGGGGACAGGTGGGTACCTGGTCTGGAGGCGGGGCCTGAAGTGGGCAGGTGCAGGGGGCGTGACTTCAGGCAGCAGCAGGGCCTGGGGCTAGGTTGAAGCCCCAAGTAAGGACCCCACTCTGGGTTCCTTCCCCTGGGTGCCCGCTGTGCTGCCGTCTCACCCATATGTAATTCAGTGCAGCAGCCCCTGTAGGACACCTGGCAGATCGGGTCACAGTCCTGCTGGGCCCTCAGGCTCACTCAGGGACTGGGTGCTCCCAGGGGGTCCTCCAACAGCTCAGTGCAGCATGCTGGGGGGTCAGGGCCAGCACCTGTCCCTGGGGCCTCAGGCCTCCCTTCCTTCCCACAGCGGCCGAGATCGAAGGTCTCTACAATGACTCGGAGCCACCCCGGAAGACCATGCGCAGAGGGGTGCTGATGACCCTGCCCCTATGGATCGGGAAGCCCGGTGACAAGTGAGGGCAGCAGCTGCGAGGGAGGGACTGGTGCCCAGGGGCTGGGACTGACCTTTTGTTCTACTCACAGGCCCCCACTCCTCTGTGGGGTGTCCCCGCCTCAGGGGACTATGTGGCCAGACCTGGAGACAAGGTGGCTGCCTGGGTGAAGGCCGTGGATGGGGACGAGCAGTGGATCCTGGCCGAGGTGGTCAGTTACAGCCATGCCACCAACAAGTGAGTGACACCAGCCCCGGGGCTACTCTCTGGTCACTGCACCTGCCTGGGCTGCCGCTCTGCTTCCCATCTGCTCAGCTGGAGAAAAACTCCACAGAGGGTGATGTAGGCGGGGCCAGCTGTGCAGGGAGCACCAGGTCCTCGTCCTGCCCCGGTCCTCCACGCTCCTTGATAGGGACTGCGCCCCTGGCTACACCCAGTGTTTTCCTCCTTTTGTCCACAGGTATGAGGTAGATGACATCAATGAAGAAGGCAAAGAGTGAGTGTCTAGGCCAGGGCCAGGCACGGAGCCTGGGGGCAGCCTAACGGCTGGGAAGGAGCATCCCCACCCAGCCACAGGTTGACGCAAGTCCCTCTACAGCTAGGAGACACACCCTGAGCTGACGCTGGATCATCCCGCTGCCCCAGTGGAAGGACAACCCCGAGATGGACCTGGAGGCCTTATTTGGGCCAGGGTGGGTCATGGAACTTGGGCGAGGCAGGAGAGGTAGTCAAGGAGACAACCACCTTCTCAGGATGCTGCGACCTTGGTGACCGCACGGCCAACACAGTAAGCCTCAGCATTCGCCTGGTCACTGAGTTCAAGCAAAGCTATCCCCAGTAGGGACTTTCCCTTTTGAGAACATGTGCATTTTGATTTTACCTGTCCTCAAACTGACCCTTTGCTCATTTTAATAGTAAAAACCACACCCCTGGGTGGAGATTTAAAATGCTAATGAGACATGTGTCCTAGAAACAGGCATGTATAGCAAATGCCCATGTGCACCCAGAGGACCACCCAGATCATGCTCACTAGTGACGCCGCTTCCCACCCATTATGAAAAATTGAGTGAGATTCCCATAAGGGGAGTTTCCCTGCAGTAATTAACACTGACCCACCCTGACGAGAAGCCCGTTCTGAACTCGCTCGAGGTGTATTGTCTATTATGCACTTAACTTGCAAAATACAGTTTTTATTTTGCAATACTTTACTCTGTGCTGCACTTCTTTTGCTGTATGTCTCTTGTTTAAATTATTTTATTTTATTTATTTATTTATTTATTATTATTTTAGATGCAGTCTCGCTCTGTGGCCTAGGCTGGAGTGCAGTGGTGCAATCTCGATTCACTGCAACCTCCTCCTCCTGGGTTCAAGCGATTCTCCTTCCTCAGCCTCCCGAGTAGCTGGGATTACAGGGTTCACCACCACACCTGGCTAATTTTGTATTTTTAGTAGAGACGGGGTTTCGTCATGTTGGCCAGGCTAGTCTCGAACTCCTTACTTCAGGTGATTCACCCACCTCAACTTCCCAAAGTGCTGGGATTACAGGTGTAAGCCACCGCGCCCCGTCTGCTTAATTTATTTTAAACCAAGAAGAGGAGAACCCAGGTATCACAACAGCCGTCAAGCTGGGAAGGAGGGCCCCCAGCCACAGATTGACACAACCCTGAGGAGACACACCCTGAGCTGGCAGTCACGGCCTCAGTGGAAGGCCAGCCCCCAGATGGACCCCAAGGCCTTGTTCCAGAGGAAGCAGCTCATCATGGCCCTGTATCCCCAAACCACCTGCTGCCACCATGCCCTGATCCACACGCCCCCACAGCAGGTAAAGCAGCCTCCAGGGGAGAGGTCATTGGTGACACCAGGAACAGGCTGATTAGAGAGGCTAGCGTCCCCTTCCTTGTCCCCTTTGTCCTCATCTCCCGAGCTAATGGGACTTGCCAGCAGCCCTCCCTCTTCCACTCCAGCCCCAAAGGCCACTGACCCCTTGCCAACCCTGGTAGCCTTGGCAAGCCCCAAGTCAGCGGCATCCCTTCTGCAGCCCCAGGAGAACCAGCTCTGGATGGGAATCTCCTGCCCTGAGCCCTGGGCTCTTGCCTCCTTGTGCTCCTGGTGACATGGGACACAAGCCACCTGAGGCCAGGATCCCCGTCTGCCACCCTCTGGGCAGCCCTCAGTCCTCTGAACACAGCACCCCTGAAAGGCAGCAGACCCTCCAGCTATGGCCCCACTGGGGAGGGAGTCAACGCCCCTTCCTCTCCCCACCCTTTTCACTGCCCTGGGTCTCCAGCCACTGAGAAAAGAGCTGTGTAGCAGCAGGGACTGGGCTAAGATTTCTTGACCCCAGAGTGAAGGATGATGAGAGTGGCTGAGAGTCCACGGCCCAGTGGCTCCTGTGGTCTAGGCTGGGGGAAGGGGGTGCCTGTCCTGGCCTGGGGCTCTCTGAGCAGCCCTCCTGTCTGCCTGCCACACAGCCCCAGGATGACTACTCGGTCCTATTTGAAGACACCTCCTATGCAGACGGCTATTCCCCTCCCCTCAATGTGGCTCAGAGGTACGTGGTGGCTTGTAAGGAGCCCAAGAAAAAGTGACGCTGCCCGGTGGACTCGCCATCCCCCAACGACACAGGGCAGGACAGCAGAGGATATGCTGGGATTAAACAGACATTCCTCCTCCACTCATCTCCTGGGTTTTACTTCTCCAGACCCTCTCCTGTCTCCAAACAGGGCAAGTTGGGGAGCTGGAGTGGGGAGGTGGCCGTATTTAGCCCCAGTGGGCAATCACTCTTTCAGTTCAGGGTTTCTCTTGGCTTGAAATAGAGACTCTGCATTGAACACAAGTCATAGTTTTGTTGTTGTTGTTTTAAGACTGAGTCTTGCTCTATCGCCCAGCCTGGAGCACAGTGGCATGATCCTGGCTCAATGAAACCTCCACCTCCTCGGTTCAATCGATTCTCCCACCTCCGCCTCCGGAGTAGGTGGGATTACAGGTGCACACCACCATGCCCAGCTAATTTTTATATTTTTAGTAGAGATGGGGTTTCGCCATGTTGGCCGGGCTGGTCTTGAACTCCTGACCTCAAGTGATCAGCCAGGCTGAAGTGCTGAGATTACAGGCATAAGCCAGTGAGCCCAGCTCAAATAAAAATAGTATTTAATTTAATTTAATTATTTATTTATTTTCAAGACAGAGTTTTGCTCTTATGCCCAGGCTGGAGTGAAGTGGCACGATCTTGGCTCACTGCAACATCTATCCCTGGGTTCAAGCGATTCTCCTGCCTCAGCCTCCAGAGTAGCTGAGATTACAGGTGCCTGCCACCATGCTTGGCTCATTTTTGTGTTTTGTTTTTTTGTTTTTGTTTTTTGCTTGTTTGTTTTTGTTTTCTTTGTTTGTTTTAGTAGAGACGGGGTTTCACCATGCTGGCCAGACTGGTCCTGAATCATAATTTATTTTAATTAAATTTTATTTATTTATTTCTCAAGGCAAGGTTCACTCTGTCCCTCAGGCTTGAGTAGATTAGCCTAGTCACAGCCAACTACAGCCACAACCTTCCTGGCTCAGCTGATCCTCCTGCCTTCTCTTGCCAAGTAGCTGGGACTACAGGTGCCCACCACCACGTGCAGATCATTTTCTCAAATTTTTGTAGGGATGGTGTCTTGTAACATTGACCAGGCTGGTCCCAAACTCCTCTCCTCCAGTAATCCTCTGGCCTCAACTTTGCAAATTGCTGAGATTATAGGCATGAGCCACTCTGCCTGGCCCACAAATCATATTTTATTCTTTTTGTTAAAATTGATTTTATTTTGTTATTATTATTTTTTTCAACAGAATCTCACTATGTTGCCCAGGTTGGTCTTGAACTCCTGGGTTCAAATGATCCTCCCACCTCAACCTCCCAAATTGCTGGGATTACAGATATGACCTACTGTCCCTGGCCCTCAATTCATATTTGATTCTTGAGCCGCTTGGTCAGGCTTGATTCGCACACTCCCTCTGCAGTGACCCCGGGAGCCCCTCTCACAGCTCAGAGCGGAAGCTGAGGCTGCAGCCTGCCATCTTCTCCGCATAGTCCGCATCGAAGCGCTCATTCTGCGCCACGGTGAAGGTGGTTTTCCAGTCCCCAGCCATGCCTGGGGGAGGAAGGCAGAGAGGAAAGCTGAAGTCTCATCCCAGGGGAGGCCCCGAGTGCCTATGGGGAGGCTCCAGCCGCTGCTCCCACCTGCCCCAAACCCCCGTGCTGGCCGGCACCCACCTTTCCTCATGAAGGGGGACATGCTGCGGTCCATGAACTCCTGGGGGACGGTGGTGTAGTTGGCCATAGGGTTCTTCTTCATCTCCTTGAATGACGTGTGTTGAACCATGAGGTCCACGGTCTCCTCTGGCAGGGAGCGCCCCACAAACTGCAGGATCTTCCAAATCTCCCTTTTGGGGTTCTGAGCAGCAGAGGCTCCTCAGTGGAGGCTAGGTTTGCTGATTCAGGAAAATAAAAGGGGTCCCCTTCTCTAACCTCAGAGGGGAACTGGCCACTTCCACTAGAAAACCCACAGAGCCAGCTCCTCGACCCCCGGGGCCCCGGTCCCTGGGATAAAATGAATTGCTCTCTGCCCTCTGATCCCATCATGAGCTGGGCTTGGCTCCTATGGGTGAGGACCGGGATGGTCTTCTTCCGTGACTGTGGCCCTGGGTGGCACACCCTTTGGTGGGGATAATCAATAGGAGTAAGTATATAATCCGTGGCCACCCATGCAGCTGACTCAGCTGTGGGAGATGAGAGCTGTGTGGGGTCCGCTGCCAGGTGGGGCTGTAGCGGGGAGGCCTGGGCCAGGGAGGCAGGATGGGGAATCCGGACCCGCAGTGGGGGCTGCCCAGGAAAGGGGCTGGGCGGCCTTGACGGGTCCCTGTGAGGTGCCTGCCGTCAGGTGTCACATGAGGGGAAGCATCGCACGTGGTCTCACCTCTTTCATGTCTTCATAGAAGAGGTAGAGAACAGGGTGGGTGTGGCTCAGCTCCCACCACTCCTGCACGTGCTGGTACCAGGACCCGTAGGACACTGGAGAAGCGGGCAGGGGGCAGCGACACAGGGTTACTGTGCGTTGTAGCCACCACCTCTCGGCTCCACACCCTCCTTCCTCCCGTCACACCCACCTTCTCCGGCCATGAACTTCTCCAGGAAGCTGTCCCAGGTCCCAGGCTCAGGGTGCACCTTGGCCATGAGATAGAAGTGGTAGTAGGAGACCGCCACATCCTTTGGGTTTCAGGCAACATAGACCACCTGCAGGGCAGAGGACCCAACCTCAGTGCCATCACCACACAGCTCGCCCCAGGCCAGCTCATCTCTTGGTTTGGCAAAGGAGGAACCTGAGGCTTAGCGGCTGACGTGCTTGAGATCTTACGGCACAGGTAGGGCCAAGCTGGGATTTGAACCCTGCTCAGATGTCAAAGTCTGGCCTGGTCCCTGGACCCATATTCTACATTAATATAATCTGCATAAATGCCTTCACACCCCAATTTGGAGCAAGGCATGCCCGGTCCCCTCCAGCTCCCTCCTCAGTGGCCCCGTGAGCACCCACACGCTGCCTTTCTGAGGCAGACACTGAAGAGTCTTGTGTTTCTGGTCATCAGACCCTTGCCAGAGCAAGAAGCAGATGGTGTCCCCGCTGAAGACGAGACCAGGTTGAAAGAAGTGGAGCGACCTTCCCGGAAGAACAGGACCGAAGCTGGGTTGCGCCGGAGCCTCCTTCCCTGGATTCCCATGCCCCGCATCTGGACGTTTTTTGTTCTTTTTGGTTTTTTTCTTTCTTTGAGTCGGGGTCTCTCTCTGTCACACAGGCTGGAATGCAGTGGTGTGATCATGGCTCCACTGCAGCCTCAAACTTCTGGGCTGGGTGATCCTCCCAGATCAGTCTCCCAAGAAGCTGATACCACAGGCACATGCTACCACACCTGGCTTTTTTTTTTTTTTTTTTTTTTTTTTCCTGGAAAGAGACTGCATCCCTATGTTGCCCATGCTGGTTTCCAACTTCTGGCCTCAAGTCAGCCTCCTGCCTTGGACTCCCAAAGTGCTGAGCTGATAGGCATAAACCACTGTGCCCGGACTCACCTTGACCTTCTGATCCAACAGAGTCTGGGGCAGCAGGGCCAGGGGCAGGTGTGTCTTCAGGAGCCGTGGGGCCGGTGTGTCTTTCAGAGTCTCCATCCCTGAGCAGTGGGTCAGGGAAGGTCTGGTGAGCTGAAGCCCCAGCCCTGTCTTCCGCCCCTCCCCTTGCACCCAGGACACGGTCACACACCTGAGGGAATCCCTGGGGCTTTGAACTCAAGGAAGGGCACCCGCATGAAGATGGGAGCTCGGCGACACTTCTCCAGGTCACCACCTTGGTAGATCATGTCCAGAATCTGGCTCACCCAGGTAGTCCCTGGAGAGGGAGGGAGATGGGAGGTGAGCAGGCTGAGGGCACAACCTCGCTGGCCAAGGTGGGGACTGGCGCCTGGGAGAGGGTGGGTGGCCCTCCTCACCTACCGGACTTGGGGTAGGTGCTGATGAGCAGGTCATCGGGCCGGGCCCGGAAGCTCTGCAGGGGTCCCAGTGCCTCTGCAAAGTACTTGATGAGCGGAACCCCCTTCACGTACTCCAGTGGCGGGCAAGAGGTGTCCTGGATCAGCTCCATGTTCCTGCATCAGGGGCCAGAGCCAGGCCTGTTCCCTTAACACCATCACAACAGCAAGAAAGCGGCATTCTTGCTTTTAGGGATGTCATTGAGGCTTAAGGAGGCTGAGTGACTTGCCCACGCTCACAAAGCCAGTTAGTGGCGGGGCTGGGGCTGAAACCAGGTCAGCCTCTAATGCGGTGGTTCCCCAGCCTGGCCACACCTTTCATTCACCTGCAGAGCTGTTCAGAATCCCAGGGCCTGGGCCATGGTGCAGACCAGTGAAAGCACCCTCGCGGCGCGGGGCCCAGATAGCAGAGTGTGTGACGGTCTCCAGGAGAGTCCAGCTGCACTGAGGAAGCTCTAGGGCCTGGCTGTGCTGTCTCCCTACCAGCCAGTGCCCTTTGTCTCACCATTTCCTACTGTGAACCCCCAGCCTCTACCCAGTGGGCTCCTCTCCCTGATGCTCCCCTCCTTGAGCCCCTCAGGCCCCTCACGTGTGGAAACCTACCAGGCTGGCCAGGCCTGTGATCCACTTGCCCGGCCACAGTCCATCTGGGCTCCAGGACAAACATGGTCCATTGAGCAACTGAGCTGGTATTGGGGGCCAGAGCCTGGTGTGGGAATGAACAAAACTCTGATGATTCAGCAGAATGAGGAGGGGACACGGTGGCTCATGCCTGGAAACCCAGAGCTTTGGAAGCCCAATGGGGAAGAATCACTTGAGCCTTAGACTTTGAGACCAACCTGGGCCATATAGCAAGACCCTATCTCTAGAAAAAATATGTTTAAAAATGAGCTGGGCAGCCAGGCGCAGTGGCTCACACCTGTAATCCCAGCATTTTGGGAGGTCGAGGTGGACAGATCACCTGAGGTCGGGAGTTCGAGATCAGCCTGACCAACATGGAGAAACCCCTTCTTTACGAAAAATACAAAATTAGCCAGGCGTGATAGTGCATGCCTGTAATCCCAGCTACTCGGGAGGCTGAGGCAGGAGAGTCACCTGAACCCGGGAGGCAGAGGTTGCAGTGAGCTGTATCACGCCATTGCACTCCAGCCTGAGCAACAAGAGTAAAACTCCGTCTCAAAAAAAAAAAAAAACTAAATTAAAAATAAGTTTGAAAAATTAGCTGGGCATGGTGGCTTTCTCCTGTACAGCCAGCTACCCGGGAGGCTGAGGCGTGATGTTCATTCGAGCCCATGATTTTGAGGCTGCAGTGAGCTACAGTTTGGCCACTGCACTCCAGACTGGGTGTCAGAGCCAAGCCCTGTCCCAAAGAAACAAAAATAAGAAAGAAGGAAGGGAAGCCAGGCTGGGGTTCCCCTAGTGAAACTGGATATCCATGGGGAAGCAGCCAGTATGGCAGAGGCCTCGGCTGCTGGAATGTTGGCTGCAGAAACTGAGTAGTGTGAGGGCGTCCTGGGCCATTCCGCTCTGGTACTCATCTGAGCTCTCTGGAATCTGGCTCTCTTGTCCTGGTGGCTGAGTGTGGGGAGTGTAGAGCTATGGTCTGCCCTGAGGGTGTGGTAGGTCCAGTGTGGGAGGGATCCAGAGTCAGGGCCAGACCTGGGTTTGCTCCGGGAAGGAAGGGGTGTGATTGAGAGTGAGGGAACTTCTCCATTACCCTCCTTAGCACCACAGCTGCAGCCAAGCTTAGAGTAATCTACAAAGCCAAGATGGGAGTTTAGTGTTTAGTTGTGATTAGAAAACACAAGAATAAAAGGCAAAAGAGCTCAATGTATGCATCTTTTTAAAATTTAGTTTAATTAATTAATTTATTTATTTTGAGAAGGAGTCTTGATCTGTTGCCCAGGCTGGAGTGCAGTGGCATGATCTTGGCTCACTGCAGCCTCCGCCTCACGGGTTCAAGCGATTCTCCTGCCTCAGCCTCCTGAGTAGTTGGGATTACAGGCACCCACCGCCACACCCAACAAATTTTTGTATTTTTAGTAGAGACGGGGTTTCTGCAATGTTGGTCAGGCTGGTCTTGAACTCCTAACCTCAGGTGATCTGCCCGCCTTGGCCTCCCAAAGTACTGGGATTACAGGCATGAGCCACCACGCCTGGCCCTTTTTTTAAATTTTTTGAGCTCTCACCAGTTTCCTGAGCTGCCGTCTGAATTCCACCCTACAGGGCAGGCCAATAGAGGAGCTTTTTCTAATTGACCCAGCCAAGGGAAGTGAGCTGGTGAGTAGGGAAAAATGGGTACTCACTAGACAGAAACGGGGCAGGTCATGTTTCCCAGGGCAGTCTTGAAGGCACCAATGCTTCTAGTCCAGTGCAGCCTACATGCAAGCCCCCAGCAGCCCAGGCATTCCAGGCTCTGACCACAAGGCCAGTCTGGAGTAATATGTGTGGGCAGAGTTGAAGGGGCAGTGGTGGAGCAGAGCATGGATGCATAGAACAAGAAAGAACAGACACTGGAGTCCCATCACCCTGGGAGCCAGCCCCAGTTTCATGGCTCTCGGATAAACTGTTCTCGGAGGAACAGTTTCATGGCTCTCGGAGTATCGCTAGAAGATCCTAGAAAAACAGCAGCTTGTGGCACATGCTTTTGTTTCCCTGGGTTTGAAGGAGGCTTCAAGAGACCAGAGGAGGCTGAGGCTTGGAAGCCACAGGGCCCTGTGGAAGGAGTGCATCCCCCCATCCTCCTCGTTCTTTGTCCTCCCTATTTAAAGTTCAAGGTCAAGCTGGGCATGAGACAGGTAACCATCTGAGTAAAGGTGAGTCTCCCAAGCTTTCCAAGAATTGCCTGAGTTCAGAGGCAAGCGGGCAGGTGGGAGTGTGGGGGAAGCTGAGGCACGGGGCTTCCAGGCAGAGAAGAGCTTGCTCACATGCTAGGGCCACAGGCCCGTCCTCCCTCTGGAAGCCCCTTGACTGGCAGGACCATGGGCTACTAGCTCTGCCCCCGCCCTCAGCAACCAACAGAAGGCACCCTTGACTCAGACTTTGTATTGCATTCCAGAAAAAAGCCCCAGACCCGCAGTGGGTGGCACAGAAAAAAGGTGGGAGGGGCGTTACACAGATCAATCCTATGAGGCAGGGGTGACTATTATTCACATCTTAGAGATGAGGAAATGGAGGTGGGGGGGTTAAAATCCTTGACCCCAGGGACTAAGCTGGCCAGTGTCCTGTGAGCATGAGCAGTTATTGATTGAGTCACAGCCTCACCACTGCAGCCAGAGCTGCCAGGTCATTGAACCTCTGCAGGGCAAGCCCTCTACTCACTCAAATTTACCGAGAGCTCAGTAGAAGCCAGGACCATCCTCTGTTATTTTATTAACTATTTGTTGGCCATCGGCTCTATGTGGGACTTTGTTCTACAGCAGTGAAAGAGCTGCCCTCAGGCAGTGGAGCACACAGGTTCGGATGGGGTTTAATGAGATGCATAACATTTGTAGTACGGCAGACAATAAAAGTGTTCAGGAAAGGGGGGTGGGCAGGGAAGTGCACAAGAAAGAGCTGCAATTTTATTGTATTTTATTTTTTTAGAGACAGGGTCTTGGTCTTTCCCCCAGGCTGGAGTGCAATGGAGTGATCATAGCTCACTTCCGCCTCCAACTCCTGGCTCAAGCCATCCTCCCACCTCAGCCTCCCCCGTAGCTGGGACTACAACCATGTGCCACCATGCCCGGCTTCTCAGGGCTGCAATTTTAAATCGGGCGATAGGGAAGACCTCCCTGTGGAGGTGGCAGGTTATCAAGACAGAAGGTGTAGAGAAGAACCTTCCAGTCAAAGGAAAAAGGCAGGTCCTGCTGTTCTCAGGAATGGCCATAAATACTATCATCCCCATCTTAGAGACGGGGACAGGGTCGCAAAATTGTCAGGGCGTTTCCTGGCTCCTCAACAGCTGGATCCAAAGTCCTCTGGAGGATAAGCCGCCCTGTCTGGGGCTGACCTCCCCTGGAGCGCGCGGGCGCGCAGGGCGCACAGGCCTCTTGGGCCCCGGGACCGGCTCAGGCTCAGGCTCGGCGTCAGCAAAGGGACCTGCGTGGCGCCCTGGGGCTGAGGAGGCCCGAAGGCCAGTGGTCAGTGCGGTGCGGCGGGCGGAGGTCGGGGAGCAGCGGGACCGGGAGGCGCGCCCAGGGCGGGGGTGCCAGGCCCACTCCAACCGCGGCGGGGTACGGGGTGGTCAGGGCGGCTCCAGGCAGGGGTCGGACGCCAAATCCGGGCCACATGCCGCCACCCGGTCTCCTTCCTTACCGGAAGGGCGGCCACGGCAGAAGGGAAGCCGTGCACGACGAGCACAATCTCCCTGGGGAGGAGAACAGCGATGTCCTGTGAGCCCCGCCGCGCCCCACTGCGGGCGTAGCCCAGCGCCCTCGCCGCGGGTTCCCTCGTATCCCGCCTGAGAATGGGGTCCTCACTCCCGGCTTCAGCTGAGCCCCAGGCCCTGCAACTCCTGAAGGCACGCCCCCTGCACCTGCCCACCTCAGGCCCCGCCTCCAGCCCAGGTACCCACCTCTTCCCGCTCCTCTCCCTCCTGTGCTCCACCCGACCCCAGCGTGCCCATCAAGACGCCTGCGCTGGACCCCAGCCTGGATCATCACCCTTGCCTCAGACAGCTTCTCCCCGGATTTCCACCGCCGAGATTCCCAGGGCACAGCCTCCCCGTTAGGCTCCTCCCCTGCGACTGGCTCAGTCCTCGCCCTAGACGCCCCGCCCATGTCACAGGCCTGGCGGGTCCCTCTCATCAGGCTTGTGCCCCCCGGTTCCACTTCCTCCAGGAAGCCTTCCTCCGGACAGAGAGACCCTTCCTTCCCCTGTTATCAGGGACCTCGCCCACTGGTCCGCCTAGCTCCACCTTTTTGGCGGCCCCATTGTGCTGCTGTACCTGACGAACAGGGTTGACAGTGATCCCCACATAGACAGGGCCCGGGTACCAGGGATTCAGGCAGTAGAGCAGCTGGACGCTGAAGAAGTGCCCGGCCTCACCCCGACTCCCGCTGGACCCTTTGAATTTTAGGAACTTTTCACTAACGAAACACATTTCTGTGTCAGCACCGACATCAAGAAGAGAACCTCACCAGTACCTCAGAACCCGCTTTGTCCCCCGCCTGGTTTCTTCCCTCGGGTGCCTGCTGTGCTGCCGTCTCACCCATCTGTAGTTCAGTGCAGCAGCCCCTGTAGGCCACCTGGCCGATCGGGTCACAGTCCTGCTGGACCCTCAGGTTCACTCAGGGGCTGGGGGTTCCCAGGGGGTCCTCCAACAGCTCAGTGCAGCATGCTGGGGGGTCAGGGCCAGCACCTGTCCCTGGGGCCTCAGGCCTCCATTCCTTCCCACAGCGGCCAAGATCGCAGGTCTCTACAATGACTCGGAGCCACCCCGGAAGACCATGCGCAGAGGGGTGCTGATGACCCTGCTGCAGCAGTCGGCCATGACCCTGCCCCTGTGGATCGGGAAGCCTGGTGACAAGTGAGGGCAGCAGCTGCGAGGGAGGGGCTGGTGCCCAGGGGCTGGGACTGACCCTTTGTTCTGCTCACAGGCCCCCACTCCGCTGTGGGGCCGTCCCCGCCTCAGGGGACTACGTGGCCAGACCTGGAGACAAGGTGGCTGCCCAGGTGAAGGCCGTGGATGGAGACAAGCAGTGGATCCTGGCCAAGGTGGTCAGTTACAGCCATGCCACCAACAAGTGAGTGACAGCAGCCCGAGGGCTGCTCTCAGCCCCTTCTGTCCCCCTGCCCCACAGCCCCAGGATGACTACTCTATCCTGTTTGAAGACACCTCCTATGCAGAAGGCTACTCCCCTCACCTCAGTGTGGCCCAGAGGTAGCTGGTGGCTTCCAAGGAGCCCAAGAAAAAGTGACACCGCCCGGTGGACTCGACATCCTCCACCATCCTGGGGCAGGACAGCAGAGGATATGCTGGGATTAAACAGACATCCCCTCTCCACACATCTCCTGGGTTTTACTTCTCCAAACCCTTCTCCCTTGCCCAGACATGGTGACCTAGGGAGCTGGAGGCTGGGGGAGAGGTGACCATATCTGGCCCACTGGGCATTCACTCTTTCAGCTCAGAGTTTCTCTTCCTTTCCAATACAGGCTCTACATGAACACAAATCGTATTTTATTTTAATTGAACTTTATTTTCTTTGGAGGGAGGGTCTTGCTTGTCATCCAGGCTGTCGTGTATGGGCATAATCGTAACTCACAGTATCCACAACCTCCTGGGCTGAAATGATCCTCCAGCCTCTGCTTCCCAAGTAGCTGGGACTACAGGTAAGTGCCAGCACATGTGGCTAATTACGTTACATCTTTGTAGAGATGAGGTCTCACTATTTTACCAGGCTGGTCTCAAATGTGTGGCCTATTGCGATCCTCCCAGCTCAGCCTCCCAAATCGCTTGGATTGCAGACGTGAGCCACTGTGCCTGACTCAAAAATCATACTTTATTCTTGAGCCCATTGGTCAGGATAGATTCACACACTCCCTCAGCAGTGACCCCGGGAGCCGCTCTCACAGCTCAGAGCGGAAGCTGAGGCTGCAGCCTGCCATCTTCTCCGCATAGTCCTCATCGAAGCGCTCATTCTGCGCCACGGTGAAAGTGGTCTTCCAGTCCCCAGTCATGCCTGGGGGAGGAAGGGAGGAAGGGAGTAAAGCTGGAGTCCCGCCCAAAGGGAGGCTCTGAGTGCCAATGGGGAGGCTCCAGCTGCTGCTCCCACCGGCCCCAAACCCCCGTGCTGGCCGGCACCCACCTTTCCTCATGAAGGGGGAGATGCTGTGGTCCATGAACTCCTGGGGGACGGTGGTGTAGTTGGCCATAGGGTTCTTCTTCATCTCCTTGAATGACGTGTGTTGAACCATGAGGTCCACAGTCTCCTCTGGCAGAGAGCGCCCCACAAACTCCAGGATCTTCTGAATCTCCCTTTTGGGGTTCTGAGCAGCAGAGGCTCCTCAGTGGAGCAAAACAAAACAAGTCCCCTCTCTAACCTCAGAGGGGATCTGGCCACTTCCCCGAGAAACCCCGAAGAGCCTTGATCCCTGGGGCCCTGGTCCCTGGGATAAAATGAATTGCTCTCTGCCCTGTGATTCCATCATGAGCTGGGCTTGGCTCCTATGGGTGAGGACCGGGATGGTCTTTTTCCGTGACTGGGGCCCTGGGTGGCACACCCTTTGGTGGGGATAATCAATAGGACTAAGTATCTAATCCGTGGCCCCCCATGCAGCTGACTCAGCTGCGGGAGATGAGAGCTGTGTGGGACCCGCTGCCAGGTGAGGCTGTAGCGGGGAGGCCTGGGCCAGGGAGGCAGGATGGGAAATCCGGGCCTGCTGTGGGGGCCGCCCAGGAACAGGGCTGGGTGGCCTTGGCGGGTCCCTGTGAGGTGCCTGCCCCTAGGTGTCACATGAGGGGAAGCATCACAGGTGGTCTCACCTCCTTCATGTCTTCATAGAAGAGGTAGAGAACAGGGTGGGTGTGGCTCAGCTCCCACCACTCCTGCACGTGCTGGTACCAGGACCCGTAGGACACTGGAGAAGCGGGCAGGGGGCAGCAACACAGGGTTACTGTGCGTTGTAGCCACCACCTCTCGGCTCCACACCCTCCTTCCTCCCGTCACACCCACCTTCTCCGGCCATGAACTTCTCCAGGAAGCTGTCCCAGGTCCCAGGCTCAGGGTGCGTCTTTTCCATACGGTGGAAATGGTAGTAGGAGACCGCCACATCCTTTGGGTTTCGGGCAACATAGACCACCTGCAGGGGCAGAGGACCCAGCCCCAGCGCCATGACCACACAGCTCACCCCAGGCCAGCTCATCTCTTGGATTGGCAAAGGAGGAACCTGAGGCTTAGAGGCTGACTTGCTTGAGATCTCACGGCACAGGTAGGCCAAGCTGGGATCTGAACCCTGCTCAGAAGCCAAAGTCCTGCCTGGTCCCTGAGACCGTATTCTATACTAATATAATCTGCATCAATGCTGTCACACTCCGATCTGGAGCAAGGCATGCCCGGTCCCCACCAGCCCCCTCCTCTGCTGACCTGTGAGTACCCACACATTGCCTTCTTAAGTGTGCACTGTAGAGACTCACTATCTTGGCATCGGACCTTCATCAGAGCAAGAGATAGACAGTGTCCTCTCTCAAGATGTGATGAAGGCCGGGCACGGTGGCTCACGCCTGTAATCCCAGCACTTTGGGAGGCCAAGGTGGCCCGATCACCTGAGGTCAGGAGTTCAAGACCAGCTTGACCAACATGGCAAAACCCCATCTCTACCAAAAATACAAAATTAGCTGGGCGTGGTGGCAGGTGCCTGTAATCCTAGCTCCTTGGGAGGCTAAAGCAGGAGAATCGCTTGAATCTAGGAGGCGGTGGTTGCAGTGAGCCAAGATAGCATCATTGTACTCCAGCCTGGGCAACAAGAGTGAAACTGTCTCAAAAAAAAAAAAGAGAGAGAGAAAGAAAAAAGGGCCAGGCACAGTGGCTCACGCCTGTAATCCCAGCACTTTGTGAGGTCGAGGCGGGAAGATCACAAGGTCAAGAGTTCGAGATCCACTTGACCAACATGGTGAAACTCCATCTCTACTAAAAAGAATACAAAAATTAGCCGGGCATGCTGACATGCCTGTAATCCCAGCTACTCAGGAGGCTGAGGTTGCAGTGAGCTGAGATCACGCCACTGCACTGCAGCCAAGGTGATAGAGCAAGACTCTGTCTCAAAAAAAAAAAGATGTGATGATGAGCCTCGTAGAAGTGAGGAGGCCCTTCCAGAAGAACAGGAACATGGCTGGGGGGCGCCTGAGCTCCCCTTCCTGGCTTTCCTTGCCACTCAGCAGGAACTTTTTTTTTTTGTAGAGATGGTTTTGCTGTGTTGCCCAGGCTGGAGGGCAGCAGCAGGATCAGGGCTCATTGCAGCCTCCAATTCACATAAACAATCCTCCCCGCTGAGCCTCCTAAGTGGGAACAGTCTGTGCCACCACACCAGGTTTTTAATTTTTTTTGTAGAGATGGGATGCCATCTCTACAGCAATGTTGCCCAGGCTGGTCTCCATCTCTCGCCTTCAAGGGATCCTCCCACCTCAGCCTCAAACTGGGATGACAGGTGTGAACCATTGTGCCAGGTCTCACCTTGACCTTCTGATCCAACAGAGTCTGGGGGAGCAGGGCCAGGGGCAGGTGTGACTTGATGAGCCGTGGGGCCGGTGTGTCTTTCAGAATCTCCATCCCTGAGCAGTAGGTCAGGGAAGGTCTGGTGAGCTGAAGCCCCAGCCCTGTCTTCCTCCCCTCCCCTTGCACCCAGGACCCAGCCATGCACCTGAGGGATCCCCTGGATCATTGGCCTCAAGGAAGGGCACCCGTATGTAGATGGGAGCCCGGTTACACTTCTCCAGGTCGCCACCCTGGTAAATCATGTCCAGTATCTGGCTCACCCAGGTGGTGCCTGGAGAGGGAGGGAGATGGGAGGTGAGCAGGCCGAGGGCACAACCTCGCTGGCCAAGGTGGGGACTGCCACCTGGGAGAGGGTGGGTGACCCTCCTCACCTACCGGACTTCGGGTAGGTGCTGATAAGCAGGTCATCAGGCTGGGCTTGGAAGCTCTGCAGGGGTCCCAGTGCCTCTGCAAAGTACTTGATGAGCGGAACCCCCTTCATGTACTCCAGTGGCAGGCGAGAGGTGTCCTGGATCAGCTCCATGTTCCTGCGTCAGGGGCCAGAGCCAGGCTCATTCCCTTAACACCATCACAACAGCACCATGTGCGGAATTCTTTTTTTTTTTTTTTTCTCAGATAGAGTCTCACTCTGTCACCCAAGCTGGAGTGCAGTGGCACAATCTCAGCTCACTGCAAACTCTGCCTCTTGGGTTCAAGCAATCCTCCCACCTTGGCCTCGCAAGTAGCTAGGATTACAAGCATGTACAACCACGCTCAGCTAATTTTTTTTTTTTTAAGTAGAGACAGGGTTTCACCATGTTGGCCAGGCTGGTCTCGAACTCCTGGCCTCAAGTGATTCATCTGCCTCGGCCTCCCAAAGTGCTGGGATTACAGGTGTGAGCCAGCGCCCAGCTGCCCCTTGGCAGAGATTTTGCTTTCAGGGATGTCACTGAGGCCTAGGGAGGCAGAGCAACTTGCCCGTGCTCACAAGGCCAGTCAGTGGCGGGTCTGGGACTGAAACCAGGTCAGCCTCTAGTGCAGTGGTTCCCCAGCGTGGCCACACCTTTCATTCACCTGCAGAGCTGTTCAAAATCCCAGGGCCTGGGCCATGGTGCACACCAGTGAAAGCACCCTCGCGGCGCAGGTGTGTGATGGTCTCCAGGAGAGTTCAGCTGCACTGAGGAAGCTCCAGGGCCTGCCTGTGCCCTTTGTCTCACCATTTCCTGCTGTGACCCCCAGCCTCCATCCAGTGGGCTCCTCTCCCCAATGCTCCCCTCCTTGAGCCCCTCAGGCCCCTTACATGTGGAAACCTCCCAGGCTGGCCAGGCCTGTGATCCACTTGCCCGGCTACAGTCCATCTGGGCTCCAGAACAAACACGGCCCATTGAGCAACTAAGCTGGTATTGGGAGCCAGAGCCTGGTGTGGGAATGAAAACTCTGATGACTCAGCAAAAGGAGGGGCGCAGGCAGGGTGACTTCCGCCTGTAATCCCAGAGCCTTGGGAGGCCAACGGGAAAGGATCCCTTGAGCCCCGGAGTTTGAGACCAACCCGGACAACGAAGCAACCCCTCTCCTCTACAAAAAATAGTTTTCAAAATTAGCCGGGTGTGGTGGCTTGCTCTTGTAACCCCAGCTACTCAGGAGGCTGAGGCGGCTGGATTGCCTTAGCCTAGGAATTTGAGGCTGCAGTGGGCCAGGATCCCACTACACTCCAGACTGGGTGACAGAGCAACACCTTGTCTCAAAAATATACAAAGGAAAAGAAGGAATGGAGGGGGATTCTGGCCAGACTGGGTTGTCTAATTGAAATGGGATATCCATGGGAAAGGGCAGGAATGACAGAGGCCTCAGCTTCTGGAATGTTGGAGCCACAAGCTGAGCAGGGTGAGGGCACCCTGAGCCATTCCACTGTGTCACTCACCTGAGCTCTCGGGAACCTGGCCCGTGCTCTCCTTGCCTGCAGGGGCTGAGTGTGGATGCAGTGTAGGGAGTGCAGGGCTGCTCTCTGCCCTGAGGGTTTTGAAGGTCCAATGTGGGAGGGATCTAGAGTCAGGGCTGGGACTTGACTCAATTCCAGGAAGGAAGGGGTGGGGTTGAGGGTGGGGAAGCTTCTGTATTACCCTCCTTAGCACCACAGCTCCAGCCAAGCTTGGAGTGATCTACAAACCCAAGATGTGAGGCCCAGGCTGCAGTGCAGTGGCACGATCTCGGTTCACTGTAACCTCCACCTCCTGGGTTCAGGTGATTCTCCTGTCTCAGCCTCCCAAGTAGCTGGGATTACAGGTGTGCGCCACCAGACCCGGCTAATTTTTCCTTTTTCAGTAGAGACGGGGTTTCACCATGTTGGCCAGGCTGGTCTCAAACTCCTGAGCTCAGATGATCCGCCTGCCTCGGCCTCCCAAAGTGCTGAGATTACAGGCCTGGCTGACAAGCTTTCTCTAATTGACCCAGGCAAGGGAGGTGAGTGGATGGAAGGGAAAGGTGGGATACGCAGGCCTGGGAAAAGTCACCTACCTGCTGGCTACAGGCCAGTCTTGAAGGCGGCAGGGGTTCTGGCCCAGTGCAGTCCATAGGCCCCCAGCAGCCCAGGCATTCTAGGCTCTGACCACAAGGCCAGTCTGGGGTGATGTGTATGGGCAGAGTGAAGGGACAGAAGTGGAGCAGAGCATGGACGTACAGAACAAGAAAGAGGCTGAGCATGGTGGCTCACACCTGTAATCCCAGTACTTTGGGAGGCTGATGTGGCAGGATCACATGAGGTCAGCAGTTCAAGACCAGGCTGGCCAACATGGTAAAACCCTGTCTCTACTAAAAATACAAAAATTAGCTGGGCATGATGGCGGGCACCTGTAATCCTAGCTACTTGGGAGGCTGAGGCAAGAGAATCGCTTGAACCCAGGAGGCGGAGGTTTCGGTGAGCCAAGATCATGCCACTGCACTCCAGCCTGGGCAACAGAGTGAGACTCTGTCTCAAAAAAAAAAAAAAAAAAAAAAAAAAAAAAGACCAGGTGTAGTGATTCATGCCTGTAATCCCAGCACTCTGGGAGGACGAGGCGGGCAGATTATGAGGTCAGGAGTTCCAGACCAGCCTGGCCAATATAGTGAATCCCCGTCTCTACTAAAAATACAAAAATTACCCAGGCGTGGTGGCACATTACTGTAGTCCCAGCTACTTGGGAGCCTGAGGCAGGAGAATTGCTTGAACCCCAGAGGCGGAGGTTGCAGTGAGCCAAGATTGCGCCATTGTGCTCCAGCCTGGGTGACAAAAAAAAAAGAAAGAACAAAAAAGGACAAGGACACTAGAGTCCCATCGCCCTGGGAGCCAACCCCAGCTTCATGGCTCCCAGGCAACCTCACAGAGCATCAGTAGAAGATCCTAGAAGAACAACAACCCTGGCAAGTGCTTTTCTTTCCCGGGGTTTGAAGGAGGCTCCACAGGCAAGAGATTAGAGGCTCCACAGACAAGAGACTGGAAGCCACAGGGCCCCCTGGAAGGAGGGCATCCCCCATCCTCCGTGGTCTTTGTCCTATTTGCATTCAATTCCAAGGTAAGTCTCCCAGGCTTTCAAGAATTGCATGACCTCAGAGGCAAGTGGGGGAAAACTGAGGCATAGGGTTTCCAGGCAGAGTAGAAGCTGTTCACATGCTAGTGCCAGGGGCCCCTCCTGCCTCCTCTGTGCCCCTGAGGAAGCCCCGTGACTGGCAGGACCTTGGGCTGCTAGCTCCACCCCCACCCTGGGCATCCACCATAAGGCACCCTTGACTCAGACTTTATTGTACTCAAGTAAAAACCCACCGGACCCGCGGCAGGTGGCACAGAAAAGAGGTAGGAGGTGGGTAGGGACACTGAGGATCAGGTCTCCAGCAGGTCTGTCCAGTGTGCCTGCAGAGGCAAGAAAGTTGGTCACAGGCAAACCAGGGCAGACAGCAGGGTAGGGAGCCCGCCACCAAAGCCCACTCACCTCTTCTAATTCTGAGTCTTCTACTTCTTTCTCAGTGTCCATCTGGCACAGCCAGATCAGGTCTCCCCAAAGCAGTGACTTCTCACAGCTACCAAGGAGAGGGGCAGGTAGGAGATACAGAGTCAGATGCCACAAGCCCCCGCCAGTATCGGCCCTGGATGCTGAGATCAGGACTCAGCTGCCTGGGCCTGGATTGCACAACTGGGCACCCTCTTCCCAGAGCTGGACCAGGCTGGGGCTGGGGGACTGCACTCACCTAGGGCATTGGCCCTCTAGGGGCAGAAGCTGCCCTGGTTCTTCCCGAAGGAACTCCTCTGCCAGGCAGATCACGTGGGCCCTTAGCCAGCAGCCAGGGTTGGGGCAACACAAGGGCCCCTCTTCATCCTGTCCCAGGCAGCCGGCAGGTAAGAGACAAGGAGGGAGAGGGAGCTGGCAGCAAGCCCCCTGTGCAGCAGACACTGTTCCGGGCATCACACAGCTGCATTCCGTGAGGCAGCAGCGACTCTTATTTGCATCTTATGAATGAAGAAACTGAGGTGCAGGGTTAAAATCCTTGCCCCTGGGACTAAGCTGGTGAATGCCCTGTGAACATCAGCAGTGACTGATTAAGTCACAGCCTCACCACTGCAGCCAGGACTGAACTTCCTCACAGCTCAACAACCCCCGGCAGGTCACTGAATCTCCACAGGGCAAGTCCTCCACTCACTGGCAATTACCAGGAGCTCTGTAGAAGGCACCCATCATCCATTATTTTATTAAATATTTAAGCCGGGCACAGTGGCTCATGCCTGTAATACCAGCATTTTGGGAGGCTTAGGTGGGCAGGATCACCTGAGGTCAGGAGTTTGAGACCAGCCCGGCCAACATGGTTGAAACCCCGTCTCTACTAAAAAAACAAAAATTAGCCAGGCGCGGTGGCAGGTGCCTGTAATCCCAGCTACTCCAGAGGCTGAGGCAGGAGAATTGCTTGAAACCGGGAGGCAGAGGTTGCGGTGAGCCAAGATCGCACCATTACATTCCAGCCTGAGAAACAGAGTGAGATTCCGTCCCAAAAAAAAAGAAAAAGAAAATTTCTGGGCCATCGGCTCTGTGCAGAACGTTGTTCCACAGCAGTGGTAAGTGCTGCCCTCCAAGAGTGCAGTATGGCAGTTGGGGTGGGAGTGACTAATGAGATCAACAAAACACGTAGCATGCCAGACAATATTAAGTGTTAAGGGAAAGGGGGTAGCAGAAAAGTGCACAAGAATGAGCTGCAATTCATTACATTGTTTTAGAGACAGGGTCATGTCCAGGCATGATGGCTCACGCCTATAATCCCAGCACTCTGGGAGGCTGAGGCAGGCAGATCACTTGAGGTCAGGAGTTTGAGACCAGCCTGGCCAACATGGTGAAACCCCATCTCTACTAAAAACACAAAAATTGGGCAGGTGTGGTGGCACGCTTGGGAGGTTGAGACAGGAGAATCGCTTGAACCTGGGAGGCGGAGGTTCCAGTGAGCTGAGATCACTGCACTCCAGCCTGGGCAACAGAGCAAGACTCCCTCTAAAAAAAAGAGAGAGATAGACAGGGTCATGCCCTGTCGACCACACTGGAGTGCAGCGGAGCGATCGTAGCTTACTGCAGCCTTGAACTCCTGGGCTTAAGCAATCCTCCCACCACAGCCTTCCCAGTAGCTGGGATTAGTCTCCTGCTTGCCACCATGCCCGACTACTCAGAGCTGCGATTATAAATCGGGAACCAGAGAAGACCTCACTGAGAAGGTGGTAGGTTATCAAGACAGATGGCCTAGGGAAGAATCTTTTCATCAAAGGGGAAATGGTGAAGGCCCTGAGCAGGTCCTGCTTTGCTCAGGAATGGCCGTAAGTACTATAGCATCTGCATCTTAGAGATGGGGATAGGGTGGCCAAAGAGTGTCAGTGGGTTTCCCTCAAGAAAGAGCTGGATCCGAAGTCGTCTGGACCCTAGAGCCACCCGTGCCTGGCGGGGACCTCACCTGGATGGTCTGGGCGCACAGGGAGCAGCAAGCCCCTGGATCCCCCTGGTCTGGCTCAGGCTCAGTGTCATCAAAGGGACCTGCGCGGCGCCTTGGGGCCGGGGCCTGGGGCGGTGGAGGCCCGAAGGCTAGGGGCACGTGCGGCGGCGGCGGCAGGCAGAGGTCCTGGCGGAGGTCGGGGCGCAGCCAGCGCAACGTGAGCGGGAGGCGCGCCCAGGGCGGTGCGCGCAGCATGTGCGCCAGCACGCGCAGGTGGAACGCGAAGGCCGTCTCTCCGCGCAGGCGAGGCCCCACGTGCGCCAGGCGGCGCGAGGCGTGAGGATGTTGCCAAGCCCACTCAAACTGCGGGCGGGGTACAGGGGCGTCAGGGCGGCTCGGAGCAAGGGGCGGACCCCAAGCCCTCACCCGGCCGCTGCCGCCCCGTCTCCTTCCTTACCCGAAGGGCAGCCACGGCGGACGGGAAGCCGTGCACGACGAGCACCATCTCCCTGGGGAGGAGAAAGGGGGTGTCCCTGTCGCAGCCCAGAGCCTTAGCCGAGGGTCCCCTCCAATCCCACCCAAGAGCAGGGTCCTCATTCCCGGCTTCAGCCGAGCTCCAAGCCCCGCCCCGGCCTGAAGGCACGCCTCCTGCACCTGACCACCTCAGGCCCTGCCTCCAGCCCAAGTACTCACCTGTCCCCCCCCCTCCTCTCCCTCCTGCGCTCCACCCGACCCCAGCGTCCCCACCAAGACCCCTACGCTGGAACCCAGCCTGGATCACCGCCCCCGCCCCAGCTAGCTCCTTCCCTGAGTTCCGCCGCGGAGATGCCCCGGGCACCGCCTCCCCGTCACGCTCCTCCCCTGCGACAGGCCCAGTCCCCGCCCCGGACGCCCCGCCCATGTCACAGTCCTGGCCGATATTTCTCATCAGGCCTGTGCCCCGCGGGGTCCCCCTCGTCCGGGAAGCCTTCCTCCCGGCACAGAAGCCCTCCCTGTCTCACCAAGGCCCTCGCCCGCTGGTCCGCCAGGCCCCGCCTTTTTTGCGGCCCCCATTGTGCTGCTGGACCCGACGAGCAGGGTTGACAGTGAACCCCACGTAGACGCGGCCCCGGTACCGGGGGTTCAGGCAGTAGAGCAGGTAGACGCCGAAGAAGCGCCCTGGCCTCGCCGTGACCCCCGCGGGACCCATCGGGCCTGTGGTTCGGGAACCGCAGCAGGGGGTTGATTGCCGTGACCTAGGGTCCAGGGGAGGGGTGGATCGCTAGGGCTGCAGGGTGCTTGCTTCGGAACAAGCTCTCGGGGACTATCCGGAGGCAGCCTGGAGGCCGCCGTAGCGCGAGTACTTGCCCCTCTCCTGTCTGGAGGCGGGTGTAGAAGTCCGACCGCGGAAGCCAGACTGCTGTCCAGTCAGCGAGCGCCTACCATTCAGCATTGGCTCCGCCCGAGTCCCACCTTCCTCAGGCTCTGATTGGCTGGTAGATGGCAAGCGCGAAAAGCCCGGACCGTTGGAAAGCCCGGCTGCTTGAGGGCGGAAGTACTGCGTTGATGTACGCCTTAGTAAGGGCGGAAGTGAGTTTCCCAGCGGAAGTGGCTCCTGTAAGGCTGCAAGGCAGCGTGGCCGGCGTCGGAGCAGGGGTTGTGTCCCCGCTGGGCTGCCGTCCCAGCTGGACTACCGCCATGGAACTCAGCGCCGAATACCTCCGGGAGAAGCTGCAGCGGGACCTGGAGGCGGAGCATGTGGTGAGTTGAGCCACCGGACGGGAGAAAAGAGCTCGGGAGGCGGGTTCGGCACCATTCATATTTTTCCGCTGGGTAGGAGGTGGAGGACACGACCCTCAACCGTTGCGCCTGTAGCTTCCGAGTCCTGGTGGTGTCGGCCAAGTTCGAGGGGAAACCGCTGCTTCAGAGACACAGGTGAGGCCCTGGGAGCACCTTGCCCAGCGCGGTCTCAGCTCCTGCACCACAACCCCAGCCACTCCCCCTACCCCTGCAACCTAACTCCCGCACTCCCCCGCGGCGTGGCTCAGGGACCTTGAGGATCCCGCTTTCGTGACCCCTGCTTCGAGTATTTCGATGTAGACCCTCTCCCCACGTACGTGTTCCCACGGCCCGGGGACTACAACCTTGGAGACACCCACAGTCTCTGGAGTCACTCTAGTCTCGGGGTGTGCGATCCTCGCCTGCCTTTTCCTAATCCCATCTCTCGCCCCAGGCTGGTAAACGCGTGCCTAGCAGAAGAGCTCCCGCACATCCATGCCTTTGAACAGAAAACCCTGACCCCAGAGCAGTGGGCACGTGAGCGACAGAAATGAGAGACTGGGATCTACACAGCCATTAAATTATAAATCTGGACCAGCTTCTGTGTCGGTGTGTGTGAGGGGTGCTGAGGCCGAGTCTAGGACCTGGCCTCTCCCTGCCCCGCCTCCGTCCATTGTTTTACCTTGGACACGTCCGTCTCCCCATCTAGGCCTCTATCCCTGCTTGTAAAATGAAAGTTCTACTGTAAAAGTCCCTTCCAGGGTCTACCGAGAAAGCCTTCTCTCTGTAACTCTGTGTAGACGTCTGGGAGTCTGTACTGCCACCAGCCACCCAACTCCCAGAGAGCTCAGGGTTCCTGCTCTCTGCTAGCCTTCAAGATGCAGAGATGAGAAAGTGATCCGGGTTTCAGGGCCCTGACCGGTTGAACAAACCTCTCCCTCTCCCCGACATCACTGCAGTATCAGAGGCACCATATAGAATTCCACATATTCCCTGCAGGTTCCCCCGACCTTCTCAGGCCCAAGAGGGAGTGTGCCCAAGTAGGGGCTCATCAACACCTGGAATGCTGATGTTTTCAGACCCGCTGGGGAAGGTTCCAGTGGCCCCATAGCCCTGGGCTTGGTGTGTCTACAGCTGCCCCTTGGAGGACCATGGAAGCTTTCGGAATAGTGGGTGTGGGACGGGGATTGGGGTGAGATTAGAGCAGGAATATAAGGCTGACCTGAGTCAGAAAATTGGGGCAGGTGATGCCCTGGTATGAGTCTTCACCACAGGTTAGTAGGGTTGCTAGGACTTTGGTTTTTTTAATTGTTTTTTGTTTATTTGTTTGAGACAGGGTCTTGCTCTGTCGCCCAGGCTGGAGTGCAGTGGCACTATCTCAGCTAATTGCAACCTCTGCCTCCCAGGTTGGAAAGATTCTTGTGCTTCAGCCTCCTGAGTAGCTGGGATTACAAGCATGCACCACCATGCCCGGCTAATTTTTGTACTTTTAGTAGAGACAAGGTTTCACCATGTTGGCCAGGCCGGTCTCAAACTCCTGGCCTCAAGTGATCTGCCTGCCTTGGTCTCCCAAAGTGCTGGGATTATAGGCGGGAGCCACTGTGCCTGGCCCAGGTTGCTAGGACTTTGAACAGAGGTCCTTGAGACCTAGGGAGGGAGCCCCAGTTGGGGCCAGAGCTTGTTGAGAGTGAGAAATTGCAAGTTTCAGCCATCACACACTCTGTTCTCCTGCGTTTTTGTTTGTTTGTTTGTTTGTTTGTTTTTTAGATGGAGTCTTGCTGTGTTGCCCAGGCTGGAGTGCAGTGGCGCGATCTTGGCTCACTACAACTTCCGCCTCCTGGGTTCAAGCGATTCTCCTACCTCAGCCTCCCTAGTAGCTGGGATTACAGGCGCACGCCACCACGCCCAGCTAATTTTTGTTTTTGTGTTTGTTTTTGAGACGGAGTTTTGCTCTCGTTGCCCAGGCTGGAGTGCAATGGCATGATCTCGGCTCACCACAACCTCCGCCTCCTGGGTTCAAGCGATTCTCCTGCCTCAGCCTCCCAAGTAGCTGGGATTACAGGTGCCCACCACCATGCCCGTCTAATTTTGTATTTTTAATAGAGACGGGGTTTCTCCATGTTGGTCAGGTTGGTCTTGAATTCCCAACCTCAGGTGATCCGCCCGCCTCGGCCTCCCAAAGTGTTGGAATTACAGGCATGAACCACCACGCCCGGCTTTCTTTTGTTTTCTTCCCACACCTCTACTGCCCAGGTAGTTTTCTATGGCATACTGAAGAGGTGGGGCCTGGAAATGAGGCCATGGGTGGTCCCTGCTTGATATGAACCAAACCCCACTATGGCTAAGACGCCCATCCCAGATAGCCCTGTGTCCTCCCATCTCAGGATCACCCACTAAGTTGGGCATCAAAACCTATTCCCACGCCCACTCCCCACAAGGCGTGACAGACCTGTTCTGGCCAGGTCCCTCACAGAGGCCAGGCCTAGACAGAACCCACAGGAAGGGCTAGAGAGGCAGAAGCGCTCACTACACAGGGGAAGACTCTGAACTCAAAAGGGGAGACACAGGGCCAGGCACAGCTGTAATTACGGCTCACGCCTGTAATCCCAGCACTTTGGGAGGCTGAGGCAGGCAGATCACTTGAGGCCAGGAGTTTGAGACCAGTCTGGCCAACATGGTGAGACCCCACCTCTACTGAAAACACAAAAGTTAGCCGGACGTGGTGGCTTACGCCTGTAATCCCAGCCACTTGGGAGACTGAGGCACAAGAATGGCTTGAACCCAGAAGGCAGAGGTTGCAGTGAGCTGAGATTGTGCCGTTGTACTCCATTTGGGCTACAAGAATGAAACTCCATCTCAGAAACAAATAAATAAAAAAGTGGGGAGACAGACTCTGACTTGGGCTCCACCCTTTAGTGAGCTGGGTTCCTACTCTCAGCCTCAGTTTCTTTGGTAAACTAGGGTCAGCCTGTTGCTTTAGTTCTGTCTTTTCCTCACAAAAAGTTCCCTTGTTTTACATATAAAAACATATATTTATTTATTTATTTATTATTATTTTTTTTTTTTTGAGATGAAGTCTCACTCTTGTCCCCCAGGCTGGAGTGCAATGGCATGATCTTGGCCCACTGCAACCTTCGCCTCAGGTTCAAGCAATTCTCTTGCCTCAACCTCCCGAGTAGCTGAGATTACAGGTGCCTGCCATCATGCCCAGCTAATTTTTGTATCTTTAGTACAGACGGGGTTTCACCAAGTTGTCCAGGCTGGTCTCGAACTTCTGACCTCACCTGCCTCGGCCTCCTAAAGTGCTGGGATTACAGGCATGAGCTGCCGCATCTGGCCTATTTATATTTTTTAGAGACAGTGTTTTGCTCTGTCACCCAGGCTGCAGTGCAGTGGTGCGATGGCTCATTGCAGCCTCGACCTCCTGGACTCAAGGGATCCTCCCACCTCAGCCTCCTGAGTAGCTGGAACTATAGGTGCATACCACTATGCCTGGCTAATTTTTTATTTTATTTTTTGTAGAGACGGTATCTCGCCATGTTGCTCAGGCAGGTCTCAAACTCCTGAGCTCAAGTGATCCTCCCGCCTCAGCCTCCCAGAGTGCTGGGATTATAGACGTGAGTCCCCATGCCCGGCCTCCCTTGTTATTTTTATCTTTGGACCTGCAGTTTAAAAGATGCCCACCCTGTAAGTGATGGTTGGTTCCTTTCCTCACAAGCAACAGTGCCAGCAGAGTCACGTGCAACCTGATGTTTTGGTTGATTAGGAAAAGCAGATTTTTGGTAAATTTGGGAATTATTGAGGTCCTAAGCTAGGGCCTTAAATAGCTCAGCTGCGTCAGCTCTGAGAAGGAGCTCGGAAACGGAGAGCAGCCTCCTGGCCCGCATCAGCATGGCTGGTTTCTACCCACGAAGGCCCTGTTCCCGTGATGTAGTAAGTCAGGGGGCATCCCACATCCCCTGCCATGGGTCAGTCCCCTCAGCGCAGTAGAGGGGAAGCTCTATGGCTGGTCCATTCAGCAAACCCCACGTCTAGGGAACCAGTCATCAAGAGTCTGGGAGGTACCAGAAAATAAAGCCATTTTATTATGTTTTTTTTATCTGCCATGTGACTGGGAATGGGGAGTGAGTGGATGGGTGTGAATGGCTGACCCTGCTGAAGGCCCTGCAGGGCTCTACTTGGCCTGGACTGTCTCCTCCAGCCTGTCCAAGCGCTTCTGGAGCTCCTGCACCGTGGCCTGGAGCTTCCGCATCTCCTCCTCCAGCCGGGACACAGCATCCTGGGGACCCGGTGCTGTGTTAGGCCCAGCTCCTCCCTGGCTCCCCTTACCCCAGCATCTGCTGAGCCCCATCCCTAGAGCCCTGGCCTTGGGCCCTTTAGTCACTCAGCTGGTTGCTGCCTAGAGACCTGCAGGCCTATCAGTCTGAAACCTGTGTTCTGAGGCCTCAGGATTACCCACTCCCAGCCCCGCAAAGATTCCCAATGTTGTGAGTTGGAGCTGCCCCAAACGCCAGCCCCACCCCACCCTCCCAGTTTTATTCCCTGGCTCCCTGGCCCTCTCACCGAGCTGGGAGTGCCACTGGCCTCTGGTGCTGCCCTCCTGCGCCCGGTGTCGAGGCCCCGGTTGACCCTCAGCTCCCGGCTCTTTGGGGGTACGTAGCCATCCTTGAGGGAGATGAGGAGGGGCCCAGCATCCCGACCCCCCAGCCACTCCTCAGCCGTGAGGGCAGGGTCGGGCCCTGCGGTGGGTGGGTACAGGTCCTCCTGGAACAGGTCCGACTGTGGGCAAGGCCAGGGCTAGTGAGGAAAGCGCTTATGCCAGGACACCCCCCTGCAAGACCGCGAAGTCGGTGCGCAGCCCGAAGCCCGGGGTGGGGCGGGGGAGCATCACCTTTCGAGGCACTGTCATGGCAATGGGCTCACACCTCCGCTCATGCAGCTTGTAGAACCTGTGGGAAGGGGAAGGTAAGCAGGGCCCACAGCCTGGTTGGGCGGGCTTGGGACTGCCCAAGGAGCATGCTGCAGTCAGGGTCGGGAGTCAGTCACCTGGCAATCTCACACTTGTTCACCTCCAGGCCACGTTTGGGCATGTAGCCCATGCCCCGCTGGGACTCCTTGGAACTGAACATGGAGAGATAGTGCAGGAACGGGGCCTCAGAAGTGATCTCAAAGTACCGGATCGAGCTGTCACCCTGTAGGTGGCGGGTGCGGAGGGAGGGTCAATACCAGCGGATGCCCACTGCTCTGGCCCTCTCCAGACCCATCCTGCCCATCTCCCACCCCCACCCCGTCTGATGAGGCCACCTTGCCACAGAGGTAGACAATGTTGGTGTCAGGGTCGAAGAAGGGCAGCAGGACACCGCTGCTGGTGTCCAGCTCCTGCAGGGACAGCGGCTCCTCCAGGTGTTTCTGTAGACACAGGTGAGAGGTAACATCCCAGGCCCTGGGATGGTGGTCTTCCCTGGGCAGTGACCTGTGAGGGCCCTCCTGACCAACCAGTGGGAACACCCATCTCATGCCTGGGTAAACTGAGGCCCATGGCCATCCTGCCAGGCAAGTGGCAGAGCAGGGACGAAACTTCCAGTCTGGTTCCCAGC